CTGTTTGTACCATTAAGTCTTATGCATGAAAGATTTTGCCAAATAAAGTAAACTAAAAATACAAGTACACTCTACACAACATGGGTTCTTGGTAAGTTAAATCAGCTTAAATCTAGTCTATCTGATAGTTCTCATTATAAGACTGTTACGCAGATATTATAAGAATATTCAGCCTAATTGTAGATCATTTTACTTGTTTTAATCCATTTTTATTCATTTTTTTTTTAATTGACAGATAATTGCTTCTTTTAGGAAAAATGCTCAGCAGTGAAATTTTCTACCAATGAAACAAAGCAAAAGAGCACAGATGATTTTCTTCTTTAATATGCATCTAATCTCAAAATAGCTTCTGAGTCATCACATTGTTAAAATCCTTTATCTCACAGACCAAGAGAGGCTTTGATGTCCTTAAACAAAGTAACTGCATCACATGCATGCTGTGCAAGCTTTCTTGTGTTGGGAAAATGCAGTTTTATCATAACTCTCCTAATCCTAATCTCTTCTCCTCCTTTTTAATTTGAATATTCTCTCCAGTGACAGAGCTGGTCCAACGCAGCCGGCTGTCCCCTAAAGACAGTGTGAAAACCATAGCTGAGTCAGTGTCGCCTTTACATAACTGATGCGCTCATCCTGCAGCTCTAGCCAATAGTAGATCGGGGTGGGGGGGAGAGAGCAGGGGATGCTGGGAGTTTGGCTGGAGGCCTATGAGCAGCTCGGAGCAGACGAAATCCAGCAGCACTCCGGCTGAGGGGTAGTGGGTGAGAGAGGTAAACTGGTTGCAGGCGTGATATAATGGACATGCACATCATAATGACCTCAATATGTAAGACGTGTTGTAAATACATAAAAGCTAATGAGGCATATAATCACTGGGTCACAGATACTGACCTCTCCACAAGGTCTAGTTACCCATCTAATGGGTCAGATGTTATAAAATGTTCAATCATTTTTGTTCATAATCATTTTCTTTAACAGTTGCATTTGAAGACCCAGGTCAGGAAGGCTTGTGAGTAACAAAGGCTTTTATCCTGAAAGCGATGATTACAGCATGACATGCTTTACTTGAAAGAAGCTTTTCTTTTCTTTTCTTTTCTTTTCTTTTCTTTTCTTTTCTTTTATTTTATTGTTTTTTATTTTATTTAATTTATTAGATAATACGGTCATAAAAGTGTGCTTTGTAAATAAAATTAATTGTTAATTATTCATCATTAATTATTATCGTTTTTGATATGAAAAATGTTTTTTTTTTACATTAAGGTGGCTCATAGAATGAAACATATAATCCAGAGTTTTTGCTTTTATTAATATTTCATTATTTAATTTTGTAATTTGTGTATTTATAATAGATTTGATGCGAAAAAGCACATCTTCATGTCTTCATTCAAAGCCTTCTGAATCTGTCTGTGCATGTGTGTGTGTGTGCGCGTAGGCAATAGCTGATATTTAAGATAAAGTGCATCATAGAAATAATAAAGTGTTTTATTGAAAGGCCTATATCATCATTTCCATGTTTTCATTCCACCGTTTTGAAACAAAACAGTTTGATACAGTATATAAAACATTGTTAAAATTGCTAAATGTGCCTTTCACTCCCCAGCCATTCAGTCATTATATGGCTGCAAAAACAGCTTATATTGAGTTAACTTTTGTTTTTGTGATGTCACAAAACCAATGCCCATTTATGCTGTCAAAAGTTATAAAGAGGGTTTCAGCCTGGACAGCTTTTTGAATGAAGCACAAAACAAAGTAGCCAGTCAGAACATAAATAATTTTCTTTTATCAGTTTTAAAGGCACAGTAACAAAAACAGCCCGTTTAATTTTAAGAGATAAAGAGAAGTTGGAAAATGGTCACATAAAAAAGAATTATGGCTGTTTTTGGTACTTAAACCCGGACAAACACTATTAGTGAACCTTGGGAAAAAATAAAATACAAGAAAGGTTAGAATATAGGCCGTATAATATTTTGATTTTAGAATAGGCCTTATAAAAACCAGAAAGTCAATAGTTGACTGAGAAATGATTCCCCTTTATCTGAGCACATAGCTTTCTCTACATAGTCATTGAAGAGAAACATACTGTCCTCTGTACTGCTGATTTATGTGTGCAGACTGACTGACTCACTGCAGGCTTCCATATACTGAGTGTACTTCTGTTATTTTGGTCACCTCTAAAAATAAGAAAGAAAAAAGCACCAATCTGGAAGAGACACAAATTAACAGTATGCAGAGCGCTTCTGTAATCAGTCTCCCACACTCCACGCTCTGTATTTGTCTGCTGATTACTAAGTGAAGATGTAGGGTAGACCATGTGTCTCTGATTTATCAGAGCTGATACAAACTGAATTCTGTCATTTAATTAACTTAGTGAATTTCTTTAAATATATCATTGTATTTGGTTTTCTAAGTAATTATGTGTAACATATAGTATAGGCAGCTGTCTAGGGACCCCTTGAGCCAAGAGCCCCATGAAAATCAAATTAGACAAACTCTACGTGTTGATGCTAAATGGCCTATTCTGATATATATATATATATATATATATATATATATATATATATATATATATGCAAATTAAATATAGCTGTTATTTACCATTTTAGTGATTCTTTTCAGCAATTTCGATGCAGTTCCACCCCTGTCAAAGTTATAATGGAGCACTCTATGTTGTTACATGATGACACAACTATGTGACACAAAATTGACCACTAAATGATCTAATTATCTACCAATTTTACTTAATAAAATTACAATGTCTAGTAGCAAAAAACTAGAAATAAGCTAAATAATCATATAATATTCTTACAACAATGTCAACATGAAAAATATTGGATATATTGACTAGATTGAAGATGAGTTCACTTGCCAAGATGAAACATTTCTGGCAGCGTAGACGGCTGCTACTGTATGAATCCAGAGGGCCCCATTCCTGTCTTTTGTCTAGAGCCTAAAAATCACTAAATCTGGAAACAACTCATAAAGCTATACCCACTGCAGACCCCTTACATATACACTGAAAATAAATAATAACACTTAAAAACCATTCAATATAACTCATGTTTAAGGGAATTCAAGGGACTGATGTACACCTTTGTATATTTTTGTTTTGTTGATTTTGTGAAAATCTTCTGCAGAGAACTTAAATATGACATTTTAGTACAGATTTTAGTGCACAATTTCTATTTAGTTGCTAAAGTTTAACATATAGAGGTAAAATAAAACATAAAATGTATTGCCACGCTTTTGCACAGGCCACACGTCATGTTTTATTTTTTCCGAAATGTTAAATTCAGCAACTGAACACTAATTGTGCAATAAAATGTTACAATAAAATGAGAAATGTGTTCTCTGTAGAGAATGTGAAACTTACTTTCACTTCAATAAACAGAGCATGTAATTAGAGGCACCCAGCGTTTGTATACCACTATAAATCAATTGCAAAAACGATCAGTATAAACATAAATAACAAATTTGTCAGCGAAAGCATATTTTTTTCTGTATAAATTTTCACACTGGTATTTCCTTTTTTATTATTAATTTGCTCATTTTTTGATTGTGGGATTTATGCATTTGTTTTAGATTTCACACAGTAATATTGCAGTATATATAAAGAAATTGTTTATTTTGGCGGTTTTGTCTTTCCATTGTGTACTGGCTCACTGTTCAGGCAGACAAGTGTTCATCCCAACACACACACACACACACACACACACACACACACACACACGCACACACACACGCACACACACACACCTTTTGTTCATGTGTGTGGCTGCACGAGTGAATGTTTGTAGACCTTGTGTCTCCACAAATCCTGTGTGCAGTATGTTTGTGTGTTTTTGCATGCCTGACTTGGTGTGAATGAAAGCAGGGTTGCATGGGTCATTGGTCAAGTGTGTCAGTGTGCATCATCATGCATCAGAGTCAGGATTACAGAGTTAAAATGTCAAAGTGAAATTAAAGATCAAATTGGGACAACTTCTGGATTGCTCACCGAGCAAAATACTCTTTTTATATAATACACTGATGTGTCAAATGCTGCAGTCCGTCTTCTATATGGTGTATATTCAGTGAACTATATGGTACCCACGAAAGGTATGATCTATTTTATTTAAGCATATCAAATGCCTACAGTTACATATACAGTACAACTCGTACAGATATGTAAAATTACAGCTTGCCTGTTATTTGTATATTTCTGGGAGCAGATGCTGATGATTGAATGACTGGAAGCTGAACTGAACCGGAGAGCTGTGTCGTTTTGTGGCGCAGTGATGCCCCCTGGTGGTTGTTAGGGACCACATATTCTCGGGCGGTTTTTTTTTATTATTCAAAAACTTAACTTTGAAAAAACTCTGAAAAAATCCGTCTGCTCCTCTCAAAGAAGACAATGGGCTTCATTCACCAATATCGTCCTAAGTTTTTTTCTTAATTTAGTTTTTGAAAAAGGTCCTAAGAAACAGTCCATGTCAGATTCATGACGTGTTCTTGAGAGCGCTTAGATTCTGTTCTTACCTAAGAACAAATCTCAAATAAGTAAACATTGTTGAATGTCAGAATATTCGTGAAAACTGCGTAAATGGGTTTTAAAAAGAAATTTCTCATTCAGAACGATTGTGAATGAATACTTTTCCCTTTATGCAACAAGAAGTATAAGGTATTGTACTATGCATATATAAAATATATACATAATTAGCCTATCTAAAAATATTCTTTATGTTTTTTTAATGTGGACTATGTGGTTTTAGGACAGTGTGCTTGAGAGAAAGGCAACTTAGTTGGTGAAACAGAAGCAGCCTCGTATAACCAACGACAGGCATCAGGCTATGATCTGGCAACCCGTTAAGCAAAAAAAATCACTGACCCATTAATTAAACCGACAAGCAGTAGTCTACTGAAAAAACCGCGGTATTATTCCAAATGGGCTTCAAACTCTGACCATTTCTGCTGGATCTGAGGAGAACCAGCAGCCCAAACTGACGTGTCTTAGAGATCTGAGAGATGACGTGTCGCTGAAGAGCCTCTCTCTTTTTGCTGCGAGGCAGCGGGCTGATGCCACACAAGCTCTGCTGATCCACTTCACTGGGACCATAATCCGACTGGGGCACGGACAGAGCACACCATGGCTAGTGAGTTTTGCAGTTTATTTTATGTTCTTTGATATACGTTCTGCAGCAGTGTGTCTTTTATTGCTGATTCACGAGTACAGTACTGTTTGACCCGTTTATATCTCACAGGCCTCTTTGTGCTTTCCACTAAATACAGCTAACGTTAGGTTCAGTGAGCTGGCTGGCTAGCCGGTTAGCTACTTAACGGCATTAGTAACTTAGCCTAACTGTTGGCAGTCATGCTTTCCAAAGAGCAGCTTCTTTTTCATGCGATTTTAAAAAATACTCGCTGGCTTAAGAGCTCATTTTTTTCATGTTGGCCTTTACCATCTCTACTTAGATGTAACAACCCCAACTAGCCAGCTAGCTAGCTTGCTAACTGTAGTTGCAGATCCGTTAACGTTACGTTACTGTCTTGCTAAATTTAGCGTTATTTGTATTACAGCTGTCATGGAAGCTAATGTAAACGGCTATATTATTTTCCTGTAATTGCATACAGTTCAGTTTTTCACTTTACGTTGGGTTATACTGTTAGAGAGTCATTGAATGGGACAAGGTAGGGCCGGGTAGTTAACGTTGGCTAGCCGGCTGTCTAGTGATGACGTTGCATGAGAAGCTCTGTGAATCTCCAAGCAGTAAACAGCTAAACCTGCAAAGGAAAGATACACAGTGAAGTTCATGAATGGAAAAGTTTCACTACACTGGTCTTACATGCTTCTGTTCCATTTAATCTCTTGCAGTTAAATTTTTGGAAGTGATAAAACCCTTCTGTGCAGTATTACCCGAGATCCAGAAACCAGAGAGGAGGGTATGGACTTTTCTCTTTTGTTCTGTGACTTGTTTTCTAAATCGTACATGCATTTTGGATAGTTTTTTGTAAATGCTTTCTCTCTTACAGATTCAGTTTAGAGAGAAGGTGCTATGGACAGCCATCACCCTATTCATCTTTCTGGTGTGCTGCCAGGTATGTTTGCTTTACTTTGATTCTCATGAACTCTAAATGCATATAATAAAGTCTGGATGTTAGAGTTGTGCACTTAGGATTTCATATCTAGCTTTCACCTTGGAACATCTAGTAATATTTTGTTAATACACTGTTGAACCACTAACATTTTTTTTTTTCAATCATTAGATTCCCCTCTTTGGTATCATGTCATCAGACTCTGCAGATCCTTTCTATTGGATGAGAGTCATTCTTGCTTCCAACAGAGGTATGCCTATCATTTTTTCACAGAGACCTTATTATTTTGTTACACATTGAAGAAAAATTATTAGCTCATCCACATTGATAGAAAAGCTTTCAATGTAATTATTAATATTGTGGTTTATTGGTATATAATTGCTTACACATTTTCTACTGCAATAGAGTATGGACTGCAGATGTAATTTCGTGGTCTGTATTTATGTTACAGGTACTCTGATGGAGTTGGGTATCTCTCCCATCGTTACCTCTGGACTGATCATGCAGCTGCTGGCTGGAGCTAAAATTATTGAGGTCGGAGACACACCTAAGGACAGAGCACTGTTTAATGGAGCTCAGAAACGTATGTAATTGCTTCTTACAGACACACTCATAAAACCACTGTGTTCTCAGCACACTCAGTGTTATTATGATGAAATTTGTCTTGTCAGATTGGGTAGAACTTGGACTTGAGTAGGAGTGTAATAGCTTGTTTTCTCTTGCTTATTTTCCCAACAGTGTTTGGAATGATCATTACCATTGGACAAGCTATTGTGTATGTGATGACTGGCATGTATGGAGACCCCTCAGAGATGGGTGCTGGGATCTGTCTGCTCATCATCATTCAGGTATGATTCATTTCTTTTTTTTAAACTCTGTTCTGCTTGCCACTGCCATGCCAACCTGTATTGACCCCTAGTAGCCTGTGCTACGAACTACAGAAGTCTCACACTCTACTTGGACAAGCTTGTCAGTTGTCTCTGCTGTCTGATTGAGTACCGTGTGACAGCATTCAACTCTCTCTTCAGTCTTATCTCGCATAATGAGCACTGTTGTTATGGAAACCACCTATTCTGTTTTATCCAATAATCAGCATGCTTTGACAAGAAAGCTGTTCCTGGAAGTAGATTAATTGACTTGAACCTTTTTTTAAAGACTAGGGTTAGGCCGAAAGAAAGACCTTGGATATTTTTACGCTGTGTTCCTGAGTGCTGTCTATTTTTGTCTTGTTTGAAGTAATTGTCTGTAATGTGCATCGACTGTCTTTTCTCTCTGTAGCTGTTTGTGGCTGGTCTGATAGTACTCCTGCTGGATGAGCTACTCCAAAAGGGCTACGGTTTGGGCTCAGGCATTTCTCTCTTTATTGCCACAAACATCTGTGAGACCATTGTATGGAAAGCCTTCAGCCCAACTACAGTCAACACAGGCAGAGGTATGCACCAACATCCTCACACCTAGTGCCCAACATGCAGGGACCTGCATCATATACACAAAAGAAACAGTTCTTAAGTGTTTAAGGGCTGCCTTTGAACACAAAAAATGGAATTCTAAGGCATTTCTACAACTGTAAAATTTCTTATGGTTGTCCTTTTCCATTTGTGAGCTAAAACAGTGATCTGTTAGTTTGATAACCTTTAAATGTCATTGTGCAATATGTTAACAGACTTGTAATTTATTTGTAATCCTTTTGCAGGTACTGAGTTTGAGGGTGCCATCATTGCTTTGTTTCACTTGCTTGCCACACGTACTGATAAAGTGCGAGCTTTGAGAGAAGCTTTCTACAGGCAGAACCTGCCCAACCTCATGAACCTCATTGCTACCATCTTTGTCTTCGCCGTGGTCATATACTTCCAGGTCAGTAGATGATTGTTTCTGCTGCATATGCATTCTTGATGAATGACCATTTATCAATTGATATTTGTTTTTTAAGCAATTATCCAACTTAGTCCTGAAGTTGTAGTGATGTCTAGCTAATTATGAGACTAAACAATTTCTGTGCTTCTCCCTCAGGGCTTCAGAGTTGATTTGCCCATCAAGTCTGCACGTTACCGTGGTCAGTACAACACATATCCCATCAAGCTCTTCTACACCTCCAACATTCCCATCATCCTGCAATCTGCTCTGGTGTCCAACCTCTACGTCATCTCTCAGATGCTTTCCACTCGATTCAGTGGCAACTTCCTTGTTAACCTGCTGGGAACCTGGTCTGTAAGTAACCAGTAACGATTTCTAGCATCTGGTGATGTTCTCATTAGTATGTTTTTTTTTTTTCTCATGAAGGTGACCGATAATTGTATGCTTAAAGCACTGTAATGAGATTCAGGGCGTGTTTTTTAACAGGATACTTCAAGTGGAGGGCCAGCTCGTGCTTACCCAGTAGGTGGTCTGTGCTACTACCTCTCCCCTCCAGAGTCATTTGGCTCTGTGCTAGAAGACCCAGTCCATGCTGTCATCTACATTGTCTTCATGTTGGGATCCTGTGCCTTCTTTTCAAAGACCTGGATTGAAGTTTCTGGATCTTCTGCCAAAGATGTGAGTGTAATAGTTTTCTTGAAGTATGTGGATGTCATTTGTGATCCTGTATCTAAACTAGCTCAGTTTGTGTTGTATTTATAATGGTGTGGGTCGATGTGTTTCTGATTTATAGGTGGCAAAACAGCTGAAGGAACAGCAGATGGTGATGAGGGGACATAGAGACACCTCCATGGTTCATGAACTCAACAGGTAAAACACACTTGACTGCCTCTTATGGCACAATGCTATGTTGTACTATAGTGAATTAAAAAATATAGAAATAATGTTTTATTCTGTTTTTTGTATAGATACATCCCCACAGCTGCAGCATTTGGAGGACTGTGCATAGGTGGTCTCTCTGTTATGGCTGATTTCCTGGGAGCTATCGGCTCAGGAACAGGAATTTTATTGGCTGTTACAATCATCTACCAGTACTTTGAGATTTTCGTTAAGGAACAGAGTGAAGTAGGCAGTATGGGTGCTCTGCTCTTCTAGGAAAGCCCTCCACAATCACACAAGACTGACACAACCGTTCTTTACTATTTTCTTATTCCATTTTTGTTTTATCATGTGGACATAATCAGTGCTCTGCCTCTCAAAGGCAATTGCATAATGCATCTTTTTTTCCCAGATGACCTGCACGTCACACCAGCAGGCTGGATCTTGTTTTTTTGCCTGTGGGGAAATTAATTGGCAGCATGCTGTCCCAGCATTCAGCATGGAAATGTACTCGTCTCTTGTTCATGTCATAGGACGTCCCATTTTCTCTATCTCTTCAGCCAGTACACTTCTTGCTGCAAGTTTAATCGTATTTCTGATGGTTAAAAGCACAAATGGTTAATATTCTGGAACTGGCTGACCCCAGTGATGTGGACATATGCAGCATGTGTTGGATCTGTCAACCTAAGATTTAAACCAGTGCCAGAGTGTGTGATCAGGTAACCACAGTGTCATGCCATGGAGACTGTTAATTGATCCGTTGTAAATAAAAGTTTTTTGACAGAATTTCTGAGGTAAGAGAGATGTGTCTGCGTGTTCATCTGTAACAGAAACAACATACCCAGTTTTTCAGGGGAACTTTGCCTGGAGTTGCAAAGAAAAGATGACTGTGTCTTACCCATTTCAGGTCATTTTAAGCTCTAGTTTGGATGCTTACTAGACAGATGATTGTAAAAATGGAAGAGCACCTTGTACTTCTGGGATACAGTTCTTTCAGTGGCATTGATTTATGTTTTTTTCATCTAGCTTGTCTGCTTTGTCAAGTCACAGTGAGAATGTTCTTATTGGTAAGAGATTTTTGACACTATTGTTATTTTATTATTATTATTATTATTAAATTTTTTTTTCTGTATTATCTATAGTATTACAATACAGAGTGTTCTGCCTACACTTTGGAGCATTGTTTACTGCACATAGCAAGATCTGCCTCACATCATCCTCTTGACTTATTTGGGTACAAGAACAGAATGCTACCCTAAGCAAAAGAAATTAATGTTTCAATAAAAGCCTTTAAATAATCTTAATCTTGATAGTCACATTATTTATTTTTTTAAAAGATCTTTTAGGAAAAAATCTTTTAAAAAAAAAGGTCTTTTAGAAAAAACTTTTTATGTGTATTTCTGTTTGTCATCTTAGGATGTATGTAGAAATTCTTACAAATAACATGATTCAAACCAGCTGTAAACATGAGGATGTGTTCTTTTAAATAACAAAACTGATAACTGTACCTCAGGGAATGTGTTTGGGGGATGTATTACATTAGGCAAGATAATAATGTAATAAAGTGTATTAAACAGTAATATAATGTATAATCAATGATTATTTTCACATTTTGTTTGGAATGGCACAATGCCAGACAGAGGTTTTCTATGTTTCCAGTCCAGTGAAGATACAATTGACAATGAAAGAAACAACACCTTGCCTAATTGCAACCCTAGTCCTGGAGTACACCCTACTTTGCACATTTTAGTATTTTCCCTAGTACACACACACCTGACCAAATAATCAGCTTTTTAACAAGCCCTTCCTAAGTTGAAGTGGGTGTGTTATGGCAGGAAAGCACAAATGTGCAGGACAGGGGCTAATTCAGGACCGGGGGTTATTTCACAAAGCAGGATTTCTCAGCTAGATAACTTAAGCCTAAAGTCAAACCTGTCCAATTGGAAAAGAGCCGAGGAACATTCTTATTGGACAATCCTCATATTTGGACTTAAGTAATTTGGATAACTGAGAAATCCTGCTTTGTGTAATACCCCCCAGTGTTGGGAACCCCTTTGTTATTGTATAGTGTATAAATGTGGTTAATAGTTACTGTTCTTATATAAAAAAATAACATTATATTAACACACAAAGGTGGTTAGCAGAATTATTTATCCATATGTCCAAACAAAGACCCTAAAACGTAACTAGCATTTTGGCACAAACTAAACCTGGCACATATACACACTTTGAGCATTGGATAATGTGCAAATGGACAGAGAAATAGCCTAAAATGTCACACTGCAGTTACGCTGCAGTTCAAGGCCTGATGTGTGAAAATGAAAGTGTTTTTATGTTTTTCTATGTTCTTTTTTATTTTTTTTTCTTAATAACACTCAAACATTCAAAAACTGATCTGAAACATTTGTAATTTATTTTACCGTCTCCTCAGTTTTAGGCTGTTTCTGCTACTTGTCTCTGCTACTGATATATGTAGTTGACGTCTTTTATAATTGGCTGCTCTGTGTGTGTGTGTGTGTGTGTGTTTAAAGAGCAGTCCGGGCTGAAACATTCCTTATAACTTTAACGTGAATGGGCGGGGCTTAACTGCTATAGGCTTTTTAGGTTATTTTCTGTGACAACACAAAACAATAAACTCATGTTCAGTTTCATGCCCATATAAGGACTGTGTGGACTCGGGAGTGGATAGTGCGTTTTGAAACTTTAACAATATTTACATACTACGTCTCACTGTGTGAGGAAACGTGAGGAAAACTAGGTTTTCCATGATATGGGCCCTTTAAGTAAGTTCGAGGCCATTTTGTCGTCCTCCTCTTGGTCCCTGACTTCACTGATCTTCTGTCTGGCTGAGCGGGTGCTGATGCAGCAGGAAGGGAAGGGTTTGGTGCGGGTGGGTTTATGCGTCGTCGGAGTCTAACAGTTCGGGGACAAAAAACATCTACCTGACAGTGACAAGGTAAAACGATTAGAAGTTATCACATGAAAACAGATTCCCCGGTGTAGTAGCTGGCGTTGCGTATTTTCGCAGTGTCGACCACTGACTGCTGGAGGGCATTATCATTAGCTAACTGCCTTGCTAACGTTAGTTATCAGGTTCTGCCAGTTACTAAGCACCTGCGCCGAATTACGCCTATTTAGCGTTAGGTTAGGTATTTTTTGCAGTTTTACGCAGTAGTTATAACGTCAGTTTTAGTGGCTTGGTAATCAGTTAAATTAGTTTATTAACCTCACGGCAATGGTGAATAGCTTGACAGGTACGGTATAGCTAACCTAGCTAACATGGCTTGAATAAGTAATCGAATTTGATGTTAAATGATAGCTATATTAACCTAGCTATCCAGCTAAACACCCCAGCAGTGATTTTATTAAGTATGGCTATTCTGTGAATTACCAACCAAATGTTTTTATTTGCCAGCTGACGCTACTGTAACTAGCTAGGTTAGCTAGCTGTTACATGGACTGCCTAACTTAACGCTAGCTAAGGTAGCTAGCTAGTGTTAACAAATAATGCTAACTTCAGCACGTTTAAAGGGACACGCCAGCCAAAGATGAAACATGTAGCTAACCATCACTACATCTGTTGTTAAAATGCCTTCTCGCCTCTTATAATGGTGGCACACTAGTCTCGAGAGTGAGATATTCCCCTTTAAAGACTAGGAAGTCCCTTTCTGATGATGTATCTTGAAGGAGGAACGTTTGAAAAACTACAAGGATATTTGGGCTTTACGCCAGAGGACGAGCTGTTAGATTTTTTTTAGCTAGCTGTGTAATGACAGAGGAAGCCAGACAGTTAACGTTATTGCTAACGTTAGGCGAATATCATGTCCATAGCCTCTACATCAGTACACTTGCAGTCAGGATTTCTTTGTTGCTCTGGGGGCAATTCCCAATGGTTTCACGACATATTTGCGTAATGCATGCTGGGTATTGTAGTGAGAGAACATTGAGTCTTATTTATCAACCGTTGTTAAGAAGAAATTTCTTCTAAAAACCCACTTATGCAGTTTTGATGAAGATTCCGACATTGACCAATGTTTTTTTATTTCAGATTTATTCATAGGTAAGAACAGAATCTACACACACTCAAGCACAAAGGTGCAAACAATTCTGTGGTTTAATAACACGAATCTGACAGAGACTTTGTCTTAGGACCTTAGGAAAACGCTTAGAAAGATATTGGTGAATGAGGCCCATTGATGGACAAAAACACAAAAAGGATACAAAAATGTGAATTCTGTTAGACTGATGAGGCCGAGGAATACAATGCTGCGCTAGAGAGTATCACCCTTCAACAGCTGGTGCCTGTGGCACAGTGTGTTGCTCAGTACGCAAACTGTGGAGAATGACCCCAATTCTCAGTAAACCAGATTTAAGGTCTTCGGCTTGTATCAGCTGAACTGGTCTTGTGCATCATTGGGATAGCTGTCTATCTGAGCAAAGTTCATTGTCTGTCTAACCTGTGTCTTCTATACAAGCCTGTATAATTATGAAATATAACTAAATGTAGTTATTCTTGGTTCTGTACACTAAAATTAAGTTTATTTGCCATAGGTTGGTTGAGTTTGTCTTGTCAGCACCACTCCAGTAAACCATGGCTGAACCTGAACTTCTTTTGGACTCCAATATTCGCCTGTGGGTGGTCTTGCCCATTGTGTTCATCACCTTCCTTGTTGGAGTAATTCGCCATTACGTCTCAATTCTGCTGCAGAGTGACAAGAAACTCACACTAGAGCAGGTTTCTGACAGGTAACTCACTTATTAGACTCAGCTTCTGTGTTCATCTAGTGTTGTCAGGAAGCTACATAAGATAATTCACAAAGAAAGTGAAGAATGGTCACCTACTTAACTGATTTTCTTTACTCAGGCTGTTCTTAGACCAAGGGTGCACAACTCTGGGCCAACTCTGGCTGCTGTCCTGTTGAGTGTGGTGATTCCCTATACTAGGAAAACTACTAAACTGTACTGGACCTCAGCGCTGCATGACTGGAGTTGTGCACCTCAGACTTTGACTAAAACCTGTCCTCTTGCCCCCCTAAAATTTCACACAGCTTCCAACTTCTCTTGAACCAAGCAAATAAAAACACTGAAGCTGGACCGGCTGGCGGGGTTCCGAGGACTTGTTTGAGAACCACCGTCTTAGACTGACCACAGGGACTATGAGCATTACCAGTAGAATAAACAAACAGTTGTTCCTTTCATGAGTTTGGAATGTAATCTGACTATTTTGACTTATATTCATCAACTTTAACTGTTTAAAGCCAAATGGGATGCTGTGATGATAAATCCTTTCTGCTTTCTTGATCAGTGGATCAGAAGCAGCCAGTTTGAAGTTGCTTGACCCAGATCATAAAATGACCGAATAATCTATTTGGTAATGCTCTAGGGCAATGACCGCTTCAGTATTTCCACTCCTCCACTAACTGCTGAGCTTAGGTGCATCACAGGATGAGACACCAGTCTCTGCAGTCCTGTGACCTTCCAGGAGTAGAAATAACTTGCTGCGTAATTATGGCTCAGTAAAACCTAAGAAATTTTAAATTTAGCTGTGTTTATTTCTTGTTTTGCCCCTTATCCAAGTCTGTAAGTTAAGTCATTGTGTGTTTTGTTCAATATACAGCCAGGTTCTTATCAGGAGCAGAATATTAAGGGAAAATGGAAAATACATCCCCAAACAGGTGAGCTCATTATTTTATAATTTTGTTAGATTCTATTCTCAATCATTTTTCAGATAACTTCATTTTTTTTATGTTTTTGACTTCAGAAATTCAGTGCCATTCTGCCCTTTGAAATGTTGGTTAAATTAACCTCAGGGATAGGAAAAACAGATTGACTGATAGAAAGTATTATACATCATATGCATTTTAAGAGTGTTCTTCATTTTGTGTAATAGTCCTTCTTAATGAGGAAATTCTACTTCAATAACCAAGACGATGGATTCTTTAAGAAGACAAAAAGAAAGGTGGTGCCTCCTTCCCCAATGACCGGTAAGCACTGTTATTTTATGCAAGTCTAATTTAATTACTTACCATCCATCTTATGTTTTCATTTTTGTGGTATTCACATACCTGTGATTGGTCTGTAGCAATTTTGAAGAGCTGTTGCTTTAACCTGTGTGTTTATCAATCCAGACCCCAGTATGTTGACAGACATGATGAAAGGCAATGTGACAAATGTCCTTCCCATGATCCTTATCGGTGGCTGGATCAACTGGACCTTTTCTGGGTTTGTCACAAGTAAGGGATTTTTGGCTTTGAACAAAAATGAATATTCTTACAAAGAAAAACAGCAGCTGGTTACAGGGTATTGGCCATTTGTTGGAAGAAATGCATGATAAAACCATGTAATAAGTTGTACAAAATTTTTTTTGTTCTCTTCTTAGCAAAGGTACCATTCCCTCTCACACTCCGTTTCAAGCCTATGTTGCAGCAAGGTATTGAGTTGCTCTCACTTGATGCATCTTGGTAAGTGGTTTCCAACAAGCATTAGGCACAAACACTTACTGTACTTCATGAATAGTGTGCACTTGTATTTATTTTTTTGTTGCCTATAAAATATTTTCTGTGTGTCAACAAAACCATTAAAATATAAGCAAATATCATACACACACATATATACATACATATATATAGGGCTGGGCGATAAAACGATAACGATAAGTATCGCAGGTTCGATAAATGTTCGATATAATACACCGTTCTCACAGTTCCACGTTTTAGCGAAAGCCCTGGTGGCGTTTTCTACTGCAAGGAAAGCGACACTACTCTGCTGTGGCCAGGAGAGGGCGCACATCCGAGTTTTTCGACTTGTTTAGAGAGGGAGAGGGCCACGAGTAAAAAAGGGTCGCCAAATATACTTTAGCAACGTCTGAAACGCGGAGTTATACAGTCCCTGTTTGAGTGGAGCGACCGGCGATCTGTTCTCCTGTGACCGAGTGTGAGTGACGAGGTCAGTGGTGTAACTGTACTGTCCTACAGCGAGCTCACCTCTTTACTAACATCCTAACAACTTTAGCGGTGTTAAATCACGTCTGCAGCGCCGTGTTACAGCGCCAAACCGTCATATTTTAGTATTAGTGCATTCTCGAGCAACGAAAGTGAAAGAAAGAAGTGGGTTCATGTTCGAAAGTAAACTGAGGAAGCTGTGAGGCATTGGAGAGCGGGAGAGCGCTATCTTTCCAGGCTAGCTGTTTTTAGCTGCTGGCTAACTTGAAGCAGCGCTCCGGCACAACACGGTGAATTGATGATACTGTAGATCAAACAAGACACAAAATCACCGCTTTCAGTTTAAACATACCTAAAAGGAGGACTCTGTGACTGGTGTGAGAGATTCACACTGCAGATAATGCTTTTACACAGCGAGCGTCAGATATACTGCGGTTCACCCCTTAAACTACTACGATTGTATAGAGAAACCCAGTTGTCGCTAGCTGGTGTCTGAATACTGTGATATGCTCTGACCTGGATATGGTAGGAGTAACAGCAGTGACCTACCGAACCGAGTTGACGTTGTTGAGAAACTAAAGAGTTTAGCACTGTTGTTGGCCACTTGTTTAACCTAGCATTTGTAACGGGGTAGCCGAGCGCTCGTTACCAGACAGCTAAAAATAATCTGTTTTCTTTCTTAAATCATGACTATTACAAAAATTGCAGCGGTGCTTTTCAAGCTGATAAAAACAGCTCAGAAACTTTCTCCCACTCTTCCATGACAGATTAGTGAAATGTTCCACTGTTTGCCGAGTGTTTGTCATGATCCGACCATAAGTGATAGTTTAAAACCACAATTAACCACCCAGGAGCAAAATCAGCCTTCAAACGTGAAAGAAATCATGATTTGACATTTATCGCGATATGTATCGATAGCGAACGATATGAATTTTGTTTATCGTGATATCGTTTTTGGCCATATCGCCCATCTCTCTATATAACATACATATATATATATATATATGTATGTATGTGTGTGTGTGTGTGTGTGTATATATGTATATAGTATATATATATATATATATGTATGTGTATATATATGTATGTGTGTATGTTATTCAGTGTATGTATGTTATTCAGTGAGACTGTGTCGTGAGTGTTCTTGCTGTTTATATTCACAGGGTAAGCTCAGCATCTTGGTACTTCCTGAATGTTTTTGGATTAAGAAGCATGTATTCTTTGATTCTTGGACAAGATAATGGTAAGAATCTTGTTCCCTGCTTTTTGTAAAATTGGTGTAGATACAGATGATTAAAACAAAATTCTGGGGTTACAGTAGTAACTCATTGTCCTAGTAAATGTAATAAGGTTTGAGTAAGGTTTGTGTGAACTTCTGTTTGCAGTTTCAGTGCACATCATCTGAAATGTGATGTTATTAACTTTAATGATGTTGCTGTGACAGGTGCAGATCAGTCTCGAATCATGCAGGACCAAATGAGTGGGGCTGCCATGGCAATGCCTGCAGACACAAACAAAGCATTCAAGGTAATAGAAAATGAGCTTAAGTCATATAAATGATTTCTTGAGCAGCATATCACAAACACAGAAAACTTCTTACAGTCCACCTTTGTTTTCAGCCTGCCCAAAAGTGACCCTAACATCATCCCCTCTCCCACTGAGACAACAAACATATTTTTATATATAACTTATTAAATTCTTTTGTTTTGTTTTTTTTTAATTGTACTGAAGAGTAGTTTTAGGAACAAAATATAGCATAATGTTATTAATTACCATTTTTAAAAACAAATTTGAAACCTATGTACCTCCTTTATTTGTATATTGTTTTGTATTTTTGGCAGGGTGGGCAATATGACAGAAGTATAAGACACTATGCTTTTTTTTCCCACAATACATGATATGCCACCATATTGCCCAGACCTTATTCAGCCCCTTATTCGGCACCCCCGCTGTAGTAATTGTCCCTTATTTTGTTTGGTTTATCGGTTATTTTTCTAAGCATTCTAAAACCACTGGGAAATGTTGGGTCAGTGTGTTCTGGCCTTGATAGGGAATTCCACCTTTTTTTTTCTTTTGAGAATATCTAGAGATTTAGAATCTTTCAGAGTAGATTGGTGTGGAATTGTAAATTGTGCATTGTACAGAAAAACACAGGCTATTTTTTATTTTTAGGTGGTGGTGATAGGATGATCCAGAATGACAAGTGAACCTACTCGTGTTTTCTGTCACAGCTTTCTGTTTGTAATGTCGATAATGATAAAATTAAAAATCTGAAAAAAAGTTCTCTTTAGGCACTATTTTGCCTTACCATGCCCTGCATGTACCTCTCTGCCATAAATGAGTTTTAAAAATACAGTTCAGGCCAAAGCATTACTGTAAAGCTATCATAAAACAACGTCTCAGACATCAGCCAGCATGTTCCTAAACAGTTTTGTGTCATTACTTTCTGTGAGGTAGCTTGTAATGGCACTGAACAGTTTGGATGTCTGGTTCCTGTCCCCACTACCGTGAACAATTCTGTTTCGGTAGTTTTCTCTAGATTGTAGCATCTCAAATCAAACCACTCTGAATGACTTACATCTGAATTATTTAATTATACAGAGATTTTTTTTTTAAAATGTGGTTTCCTCTTTATTATTAGAGATGATGATGCTTCCAATAGACCACAGGTTTCCAACCCTGGTCCTGGAGTCTCCCTGCCCTGAACATTTTAATGTTTTTTGTTTTTGTTTTGTTTTTTATTTCAGCTCCAAACACACCCACTTCAAGTCATGAAGGGCTCGTTAATGAGCTTATTAGTTGGTTCAGGTGTGATGGGAGCAGGGGAAACACTAAGTGCAGGGCTGGGGGTACTCCAGGAACAGGATTGGGAACGACTGCAATAGACTGTTGAGTGTTCGTTCATTAACCATTGCTCTTCATCAGGCGGAGTGGGAGGCACTAGAGTTGACAGACCACCAGTGGGCACTAGAGAGCGTGGAGGAGGACCTGATGAGCAAGGACTTGGACCTGTCTGGCATGTTCAGCAAAGATTTGCCAACAGGCATTTTCTAAGGGCCTGCTACCCTAAGGAGAAGCATTAAAGGCTGTCATCCAGAAACTAATTGTAATAAATTGTGTGGACTGGTTTTGGAACTGATGGGACACATTCTGGTATCTCTAGAGGACTTGCATAAACCTCACTGCAACATATCACATGCATGCACTGTTCTGTTTATTTTTTTTTCTCATTACCACAGAGTTTTTGTATAAATAGTTTAGGATTAATTAAATGAAGCTTAACTTTATAACTCACTTTCTTTGGTTGCAACCTGTAATACAGTCAAAAATACAGCAGCACTGCAGGAGTAGGCCATGGGTGGAATGTTCTGGTGAAGCTATTTTCATTTGTTAACCCATACCTGTTTTGCTAAATTTAAAGCATGTTTGGTTGAGGTAAAGGCAAGCTTAACATGAACATCAAGTAATTCAGTTTACAGTAGTATTAACCCTGTTCTATTCTTAAAAAAAAAAAACATTCCCTCATTATAATTATCAGTCTTTATTTTTTTTTATGCATCCCAGTGGGTGTCATTTTATTGGATTAGAGGATTAATGGGACCATGTGTTTAACAAATGAATAATTGGATGATTTTTTTTAAAAGTGGACCAATCCAAAACAAATGGGGTTCGGTCATATGGATCTAACAGTTTACTATGGATTATTAGAGCTTTCCTCTACTTATAGTAGCTTGGTGTGGTCCTCCTATGTCACCGATTCCTGTTTATTACATATTTTTTTTTTTTTTTAAGTACCAGATAGTCTCTTCTTACTGTTTCTTGAAACTCCCCATGATTCATTGTTGTGCTTAGTTTTGTATTATTTATTTAATTTTTGTAACATTTATGTTTTGTAAAGTGAAATTTGACACCATCATGCACTTGCAGGAAGTGTTCATCCATAATAGAACTTGTTTTTATCAAAACTGTGTTTTTGTGCCTTAATTTGCTATCAGCTATAGAGCATAAGATTTATGTCCTTCTGAAACGGGACAGTCTTATTTTCTCATTCTCTGCTGTGTAGAGGGTTCAGTGAACTGACCAATAGAAAGCATGTCGTGGGCTCCATTTTGCGTGGTCACTTGTGTAGAGATTAAGACCTAAACAGAGACGGGATGTGTCTTAGCACAATGCATAATCTCAGGCTCACTCGCCATAGAAATGAATTCTCTACTAACATTTCGCTAACTGAAATGTTCCGTTGTCATGGTGATGGATCTGCTCGCTGAGTTCTTGCGTCCCTAAACGATGTTCTTCATAGGGGAGTCAGCAAGAAAGATTATTCAAAGAGATTCACCTATATGATACCAGAAAGGTCTTTTTGTGGTTACTGTATGTATTTAAATAGCACATTGTTTTATTATATGAGCATTGATTAATATATTTATACGAAAACTCTCGTTTGGAGCGACCATCTATGTCAACACTGGCTAACTGCCAGTTAAACTGGTAGGTTATGTATTTATTCCTCTGGGCTTTGTTTCATGCAATAATTAGTTAAAGCTAGATCTCAGTTGTAGCTCATAAACATACACCGATCAGCCTCCCTGTTTCTATACTTACTGACCACTTTATCAGTTCCACTTAGCATATATGAGCACTTTGTAGTTCTACCATTACAGACTAGACCATCTGCTTTTCTGCATATTTTGTTAACCTCCCTTTGTCCTGTCCTTCAGTGGTTAATATCCACACAGGACCAACACAGAGCAGGTATTATTTAGGTGATGGATCAGTCTCAGCACTGCAGTGACACTGTCGTGTTGGTGGTAAGTTAGTGTGTGTTGCGCTGGAACGAGTGGATCAGACAGCAGTGCTGCTGGAGTTTTTAAACGCCTCGGTGTCACTGCGGGACTGAGAACAGTCCACCAACCATAAACATCCAGCCAACAGCGTCTTGATGAAGGACTAGAGGATGGCCAACACAAACTGCAGCAACAGATGAGCTCTGACATTACATCTACAAAGTGGACCAACAAGGTAGGTGCGTCTGATAGAGTGGACAGTGAGCGGACACAGTGCTTAAAAGTGTAGCACTGCTGTGTCTGATCCACTCATGCCAGCGCAACACACACTAACACACCACCACCACGTCAGTGTCACTGCAGTGATGAGAATGATGCATCACCCAAATAATACCTGCTCTGTAGTGGTCCTATAGGGGTCCTGAATCTTGCAGAATAGGATAAAAGGGTTCTAACAAAGTATGCAGAGAAACAGATGGGCTGCAGTCTGTAAATGTAGATCTACGAAGAGATCCTCTAAGGTAAGTGGAGTTAATAAAATTGACAATGAGTGTAGAAACAAGAAGGTGGTTTTAATGTTACTGATCTGTGTAAGCGCTCGACGCACCCCTACTGCTGAAGGCATGTAACTGCCGATCTCAGAACTTCGAGCTGGTGTGTTTACTAGCCTAGCCAGAGGAGCTAACGCGCTCCCTACGGCTGCGCGCCCACACGCGCTGCGGGTTCACTCGCTGCACGATGGCGGAGGGAGGCGGACCCGAGTCGGGGAACGCTTCAGATCCTGATGCGGAGCCGGGGTCGGCTCAAACTCCAGTACCTTCTATCGAGAGTCAAAAGCAGACCATTGGAACACTGCTGAAAACCACACTCCGAAAGGGAGATGAATGGTGAGACAACAAACATATAACGCTGGCTTTACACTGGATCAAAGTTAGCCAACCTGCTGTTGTAGCCTCGGCTAGTTAGCGTTAGCTAAACCCCAGTGTGTGAACGGTTTCAGGCCTACCGCTTCACATTGGGCAGGAAAGTGGGAGCTAGGCTAGGCTAGGGTAGCTTGCCAAGCTTTTTAACAGTTATCTAGCTTGCGTAGCGGCTAACGAGAGTCACTCCTTAACTTGACAACATTTGATTTCTATATTTCTGTCTTAACTAACGCTACAATGGGGTGTGATTAGCCGGGCTAGCTTTAGCTGATGGACGAACCGTCTTGTTGGCTAGCGTTAGCTAGCCCAGCTAAGGTTACCGGTATGTGTCAGAGCATTCTCTCAGTAGCTGGCTACACTAGCCACTGTACTGTACTGTGTTCACGTACTAAAACATCAATTTCTGAAAGTGAAGTTTAAGGCCAACTCTGCACATACTCCCTTTAATATGAATCTAGATAGGATGTAGAGTAGTTCAGTATTTTCTCGCCTAGTTACGTACACAGCTTGCAAGCATGGTAGCTACTTAGGTAACGTTTACTAAACTATTATGGAGATTGCAATTGTCATAGTTATATTAAGGTTATTTGCTCGATGGAGCCAGTGACACCTCCTAGACGGAAGACAAGGCCAAATAATGCCTCAGCTGGACAGCAGTTAACGGTACATACAAGTCATGTTAACCAAGCTAACTACAGTAGCCAGCTACTGCTTTGTCATGGGCACTGGATAACACCCAGCGACTGTGCTGATTGACACCGAAAGACACTATATTCCAATCAATCAGACAGCCCGGGCAGTTAAGTAAGTAAAGTGTTGGATTATTCTACCAAGGTAGAAGGTTATATTGACGTGGTGCCACCTTATGTTGACAGAGACAATCGGAAGATACGACTGTCCGCTTGACTGACCAGTTTAGCTTCATTCTGTCAGTTAGGTTAGCAGTGCATTGCTTAGTGGCTAATTGACAGTGGATTGTTTGATAAGGATGTATGAACAGGGTAGCTTCATTGAAATATTTCCTTCAAAGTGTCATCACAGGCCACTTTACCAACAGCACTAACCCAAGACACAGTCGTGAATTGGCTCTGTTTCAATTTAAAGTGAGTACAAAAGAAACATTTTTCACCTGCCTTGGCTGATGGAATCCTTGCTAACAAGCTTATGCGGTGGAACAGGTTCCTGCTTTAGAGGAGATTAAGACTTCCTAGTTCACGGTTTCTATATTAGTGATGTTGGAACAGTGCATTTCATTATTGGCAACAGGTGTTCAATGTTCATTAATTTATTTATCAAAATTACTGAAAAAAAGTTATAGTTTGGTTTTGTTGCTTTCTTTTGATTCAGCTTGATAATCTCTGCCCACCTTATTTGTTTTCTGTAGGTTTTTGATTGACAGCCGGTGGTTCAAACAGTGGAAAAAATATGTGGGCTTTGACAGCTGGGATATGTACAATGTCGGAGAACGCAATCTGTATCCGGGACCCATTGACAACTCTGGGCTTTTTTCAGGTAATTATACATACAGATATCTTTATCTGTATGTAGCAGACATCTTTAGATGTATGTAGAATTAGATGGGACTTTTGCTCCAACCAATTTCTCATGGCCTGAAATTATTAATGTAACAACTTATAACAGTTCAGAGGTATGACTGCCTCTTTTTACGGTCATATGTAGCACTGAACACAATCATAACCAAATGCACAGATGTTAAAGTTAAAATCCAGTTATTAAACACTAATTATAAGTGCTGCCTTATAGTTATAGCCGAGCAATATAGCTTCATGTTTAATGGTGGCAATAAAGGTTTGTCAATAGAATCTCTTTGTAAGGATTTTAAACCTGGGTAACAATGTTCTCATGAAATCAAGTAGTAAGACAGCACTTAAAATGTCTTTGCCTGACATTTAACTTGCAGTGCACTGCTGAAAGCGTGTTATCTCTGGGATACAAAATTGTTTTTTTTTTCACATTTATGTTGCAGACCAAGAAACCCAAGCGCTAAAAGAACATCTTATAGATGAGTTAGACTATGTCTTGGTGCCCACAGAAGCTTGGATTAAGCTTGTCAGCTGGTATGGCTGTCTAGAGGGACAGCGACCTATTGTCAGAAAGGTAAAGCACTGCCTTGTTTCACTTTTAAGGTTACAATTTTAATATTACAACAGTTATACATGACATTTGAGTTTTTATACTGTCTAATCATTTATAATACATTTTGTTTAACTTATTAGCAACTGTGCAGATATTATTTGCAGAGTTTTTCTCTAAGCAATATGTGCATTCGCACTTGCCTGGTCTTGCCTCCAAACCTGTGTACTTTTAGCCAGCACAGCTGCTTCACCCTAATATTACAGCAGTAATATGTTGCTATGATCCTTTGTGAAATGTTTCATCCATTGTAATAATTAAAAAATTGTTTACTCATTTTAATAGTGTTAGCGTAATGCAAGCTTATCAGTCACAGCTCTGTACTGCTCTTTTCTCCATACACAAACTTATGTAGCATGTTTTTATTATTTTTTTTAATCATCTTTTTTTTAGGTGGTTGAGCATGGCATGTTTGTAAAGCACTGTAAAGTGGAAGTATATCTGTTGGAGCTGAACTTATGTGAGAATGACAACATGGACAACGTGGTCACTCGCCATTTCAGCAAAGCTGATACCATTGGTATGAAACCTTCAACATTTAGCAAAGTGGCAAATTACAAGCAAGGCAGAAATACAGAGACAGCATATCTGTTCATTCTTTTGGAAGTTAACTTATCTGCATGTCATAAAAGCTGTTTGTGTCTTTTTCACAACAGAGGTGAATTCTGAGTCTGAATTGCACTGTAAGAGAGTGTAATTATTGTTTTGTTTGTCTTCCCTCAGATACCATTGAAAAGGAGATGAGGTCTCTCTTTAATATCCCATCAGAAAAAGAAACTCGACTATGGAACAAGTACATGAGCAACACATACGAGCAGCTGAACAAGCCTGACAGCACTGTTCAGGATGCTGGGCTTTTTCAGGGCCAGGTAGGATTTTTAGATTCTATACAGCTCTTAACAGTCCTCTCCATTCTACTTCATTCCCAATTCAGTTGGTGTGACGGACCCGTTAGCAATTGGAAATTGTGTCCTTGAGTCTGCTTCGATTTGTACGAGGTCATTGCAGAGCTGTCTCCCTTTAGGTACTTGTGATTGAAAGGAAGAATGAAGATGGCACATGGCCCAGGCAAGCCTCCCATCCCAAGTAGGTTGATTTAGATGTGCCTTCACATGGTTGGTCCTTACCATCAGTAGTAGCTGATATCAGAAGTTCTAATTTGATTTCTTCTAGGTCCAGTACAACCACCTCTCGGACTTTCACTACGTCCCCGAAGTTCTCCTCCAATTCGTCTGCCACCATTTCTTCCACAGTGACCAATGGAGACAGCAGTGGCAATTCTGGCTACATGCTGAACAATAGCACATCTGCTGGTAACAGGTATGTTTTTACATCACTCATTTTATGATTGATTTTTCAGTTTCATCTTCATATATCTTGGGTCTTGGCTTGTGATGTGATGGCTTTGGCTGAAAACCTAAAAAGCTGACAGTAAAGAATAACTGTTTACATAAAATAAACATACTAAAAATATAATGTATGTAGGCTACAGTATGTGCCATGAAACATCATCAACAAAAGAGAACGATTGGTAATCCAAGGCAATGAATTTTATTATTTTTAGTTATACTTTTCACTTTGGCACTGTCGTTTGAATTTTTTCATCATTTCAAAGACTGAGGCTGCAGATGTTGGTGGTGTTAGCTTCTCTCTGCTTCTGTTGTTTTGCTGTATTCTGCAAATTGAGTGGGGTGTCATGTTTCCAAATGGTATTAAACCTGTATTGGTGAAATTCTTTGTATGTTGTATGTAAAGGTTAGAATTTGCTTATCGAATCTAAAAGCCTCTGGAGATTTTTGTAAGCTGTGAGTTTAACTGTCAGCCTGCTATTGCTCGCACTGTTTCAATGTGACTGTGCAGACCAGCGCAGGAGAGTCTTCACTTGACACTTTTGTTCACTTGACATTGTTGGCTTATTTAATTTTTGATATTTTCTTTCTTGGAAAAAGCCGAGACTAGGGATGCACCAAAATTTCATCCACCAGAAATTTTCAGCTGGAAATGATCAAAAACGGTAGTTTTGGGTTTTGGCAGAAAATTTTTGTTGCACAAAATTTTAGTGCATCCCTAGTCTTGGCTTTTTCTGATCTTGCTGTCTGATTTCTGTATCCATGCTTGGCTTGTAACAAAGCACCATGCCCATTCGTTTGACTGTGACATATGAGTAATCACATGAACCATAGTCTCCAGTATAAAAGCACAACCATGTTTTGCTGACCATTTCGTGTTCTACAGGTTGGGAGGGTACAACTCGTACAGCTCGTCTTACAGTTACAGAGAGTCTGCCTCACAGCCTGGGCTCTGTGGCCTCAGCAATTTGGGCAACACCTGCTTCATGAACTCTGCACTCCAGGTACACACATGGGCAAACACACTCATACGTATGCTCATACACCCAGGTAATGTTTTCTAGATCTTATAAACACACACATGCTCCACAATTATTTTTCTCTGTGATGAATGTACTCCCATCCCATTCTTTCTGATATATCTCTTTACAGTGTTTGAGCAATTCACCGCCCTTAACGGAATATTTTCTGGAGGACCGGTATGAAGCAGAGATCAACCGAGAGAATCCATTAGGGATGCGAGGGGAGATCGCTGAGGCCTATGCCGACTTAGTCAAACAGATGTGGCTCAGTCGAAGCAGCTATGTGGCTCCCCGCACTTTCAAAGTAAGATATACAGCTGTGCCGGTGCCGTTTTAGTTAACCTCTTTCAGGCTAGGTTGTTAATGTGAGTTTATAGTCTGTAAGAGTTGATCATTAAGTGGAAACTTCACTCAGTTATTGTGAGTACTTAATAAAAGTGTATAGTATACAAATATGAAATATTAACTAATTAAGTAAATATTAAGTAATTAAGCTGCATTGGAGGTCCTGTTTCTTGAGGGTTGTGTTTTTCTGAGCACAGACGCAGGTCGGCCGCTTTGCCCCCCAGTTCTCAGGGTACCAGCAGCAGGACTCTCAGGAGCTGTTGGCCTTCTTGCTGGATGGACTACATGAGGACCTGAACCGTGTTAAGAAGAAGCCTTACTTGGCCCTGAGAGATGCTGAGGGCCGGCCTGATGAGGTATTACTTTTCAGAATGGTTTTTTATCCTTACCATGAATATGCAGTTGATTGCAAATGTTTGGGCACGCCGGGCAAATTATGTTGTGTTGATTGAAATGAAAATAAGTGAACACACTTTTCACTTTTAATGCACAGTACCTGTTCATTTGCTACATTTTATTTGAAAATATAAATGTATATTGTTTTTTTTTTTTCTTCCAATATATGAAACTCATCAAAAAAATACAAATTGTGCAGTAAAATTAGCAGACAAATGGCATATTTTAGTTTTTTGCCTGTAGACGATTTTCAATTAGAAAATCAACAGAACACACAATTTGAACAGGGATGTTTAGACTTTTCTATATGACTAAATTTAACTAATATTAAAGTATTAAACCTTTGTCAGTTGCTCAGTGTAAGTCAATGGCTCTTTATATCTCTATAATGTTATCACTGTGCCCAGTAAAACATCCTGATGCAGGCTATTTTAAATAGGGGTGGAATGTGTGAATATCATAAATCTTATATATTCTGCCCTTCTTTTGGTTCACATCTCAACTTGATGTTAACAGATTGTAGCTAAAGAGGCATGGACAAACCATCGGCTGCGAAATGATTCCATCATAGTTGATATCTTCCACGGCCTGTTCAAGTCCACGCTAGTCTGTCCCGAATGCTCCAAAGTATCTGTCACTTTTGACCCTTTCTGCTACCTCACGCTGCCCCTGCCCATGAAGAAGGACCGAACCATGGAGGTGTTTTTGGTTCGGACCGACCCTCAGTCCAGACCCATGCAAGTAAGAGCATTGATTTGGCATGTATACACTGGTAATACAGTTTGTCTCTCAATATATGTAAATCAAAACTTTATATGTTCCCTGTGTTGGTTGTTCACTTCAGCACTGGTTCAGTTGATTAATATTTTTGTGGTGGTGTTATGTGGTTATGTAAGATCAAATAAATGCCCTTACTGGTTTCCCTGTGTTTCTCTGTCCTACCTAGTTTCGCGTGGTGGTCCCTAAACTAGGCACAGTGGCAGACCTGTGCAGTGCTTTGGCTAAACTGTCTGGAGTTCCAGCAGAGAATGTGAGATTTGAAGTGCCTGTTTTATTGCTTTTTTTAATATTATGCTGTCAGTTCTTCTCACAGTTTAAACATGATTCATATGCCTGCTTTGACAGATAAGTCATCAAATGACTTACTGAAGTTTGAGTCCATTTTCCCCCTCTCATCTAGATGGTTGTGGCTGATGTTTACAATCACCGATTCCATAAAATCTACAGAAGGGATGATGGTCTCAACCATATTATGGAAAAAGACGACATCTTTGTGTAAGTTGTTGGTTTTGCTTCACATTCAGCTAAAGATATTTTTGAGATTGTGAATTCCAGTGATGCTTACAGTTTGTGTGTGTTGTAGCTATGAGGTGTTGGAAGAGGACAGTGAGCGGATGAATCTGCCGGTATACTTCAGGGAGAGACACATGAAGCACAGCGGAGGCTCCTCAGGCACAATGCTGTTTGGGCAGCCACTTCTCATCACCGTTCCGCGCCACAACCTCTCCCCAGACACACTATATGAGCGTGTGCTTGAAAGAATTGGGTGGGTGCTGTTCTGCCTTGCACTTTGAACATAAAGAGCTTAAGAACTGTACCCGTCCCCTAGTTCAGATAGTTGTTTGTTTTCCCTGTCTCACATTCATGCAGCAAACTCTCACTTTCCAGAATGGAATTAATGTAACTGGACACACTGAATGTGTGTGTAGTGAACAGACAGTACAGCAAAAGATAAAGTACTCAAAAGTTGTTATTTGTTGCTTGTTAAGGCGCTACGTGAAGCGCTCACAGGCCACCACGATGGACAGCCGAGCCTCTGCGTCAGCCACTTCCTCTAACAGCAGCCACTCAGTGGACTGTGGAGTTTTAGCATCCAATCATAATGCAGGGCTGAGCAGCTGTAGCAGCCCAATGTCAGATGGGGCATCCTGCAGCGCTGGTTCTACCAATGGGAGCAGCCACTCTGAAACCTGTAATGGCCCCAATGGAGCATGTGATGGTAAGATGCCCACCAAGCCAGGTGTCTTCTGAAATGTATTATTTACTATTCCTCCACTGGATTCACCATAGTTTGTTTGTTGTTTTATTTATTTTAAGTGTTAAAATCATATACATCTTTGGGATTACCACAGGTGAAGATGAGGCCATGGACCACCAGGTGAGCCCAGATCCTGAAAGTAGCCAGTCAGAAACTGTGGACGGGGAGGATGAGGGCTCAGAGCCTGAGAACGGACCCATTGGTAGTGTTGGGAAAGCTTCTCGACCCAAACTCTTCTCTTTTAGCATGGTCAATTCCTATGGCACAGCCAACATCAGTCCTTTACCATGTGAAGGCAACATCCTCAAACTCACACGTAACTATTGCTTTTGTGCCTTTTAGCATTTTTTTAAGATACTTTATTTTTAAATGGGGAAGAAATTCGTAACTTGAAGAAAACCCTTTTTTCCCCTCACAGCACATTCCACAATAGCTATTGATTGGGACACGGACACAAAGAGACTGTGCTATGATGACCAGGAGGCAGAGGTTAGCTCGCTTTATATGTTGCTTTCATTGAAGTGTCAATGTAGTTACATGTTCTACCTCAGAATACTGTAAGCTCTGCTTTGTCTCTTTCAAGGCTTATGAGAAGCATGAGAGCATGATGCAGGCTCAGAAGAAGAAGGCTACGGTGGCTCTGAGGGAATGCATTGAGCTTTTTACCACCATGGAGACGCTGGGAGAGCATGATCCTTGGTGAGGATGAATATGCTATCACAAATGTTTAGCTTTTGTGTATTCACTAAATACACAAATTTGTGGATTGGGTGTTTTTTGAATATAGTCAGCATAGGTGTGAAGAATTCACTAAATGTCATTAGTTGTCAGGGCTTGGAATTAAACAGAATTAAAAAAATTAATCAGTTCACTTGGAGCAGAAATTATATTTTAACCTTTCCATTCATCTATTCCAACGCCAACACAATGTTAGAATATTGAACAGTTCCATTCTTTTTACACAGGCTGTATGTACACATAATGTTATAAAATAGTAGGTAGTTATGATCAGAATAACTCAAATGTATGTTAAATGTTGTCAAAAGAGTCAGTAAATTCTGTTTTTAAAAATGCATACACATGCTCACTGGCTAAGTGGTTTCTTGCATCACAACATGATACAAATAAGGTCATGTGAGAGTATATGGAAAAGCAGCTCTGAATACCATCCATGGTGTTTACTTTAATTAATTTATAGCCTGAGCACAAAAATACCACATTTCATATGTATAAATCTTAAATGATAAACTGAATGAAATAATTCGAAACATAATGTTAATCTAAAAACAAGTAGAGTTTCAGAGGTAAGACATACTTAATAAGCAAGTGGGCTGCTCAGAACCTCAGAAGTAACATTATTAACCACAACAATCTCTGTTCGGTTCTGTTCCTGAGCAGTTAAGGCTAATTGTTTTTGGTTGCATTTGTTCCTACCAAAATACCATTTCTTGTTTCATTTTTGTTCCTCAAACTAGTTCAGAGCCTTGTTATTAATTTATTATTATAACAGTCTGTGTCTGATGATCACTCTGCAGGTACTGCCCCACCTGTAAGAAGCACCAGCAGGCCACAAAGAAGTTTGACCTGTGGTCTCTACCCCGCATTCTGGTGGTACATCTGAAACGCTTTTCGTACAACCGCTGCTGGAGAGACAAACTGGACACTGTAGTGGACTTCCCCATCAGGTGATCTGTCAGTATATGTAATAGGCACAGACAGTTTTGTGCTTTTGTTTCAATTAACATAAAGGGTTTTTCCTATTTATGATTTTTATTTATTTTTTGTATATATATATATATATATATATATATATGTGTATATATATATATATATATATATATATCCTTTTTTTTGTGATGTTTAAAAAAAGATCAATAGGTGTTGCACTAAGGGAATTTATTCTCTGAGAACTGAAATGATTTCACATGAAAGAATGCATTTCTTCCACCAGATGGCAGCAAGCTTGTGAGAAATGTGGTTTATGCCTTGGCAGTAGCATCTACTCTTTTATCTTGATTCATGCTTTAATAATGTACTGAGGGCTTGTATGGTGCAGGATCTTCTTACATGGGAATTGGTGAAAGTCATTTTGGTTGGTGCAGCAGTCTACAGTAAGAGCCAGTGGGAAAGACTTAGCGGTGAAAAGATATGCCATGTGTTGTCTGAGCTTTTACGAGCCAAACCCTCTTTGTTCTTGTTGGGGAAAAGATATGTTGGGGTTCAGCTTTTCCAGATGCTGTGTGGCATAGGCATAGCCACGGTGTGGTGGAGTGTATCAGTCTGACAGATTGCATGGTTAATTGTTTTAATAAATGTTGAGGTAGTTTTCATGCACATGCTAATGTAACGGCCTTCCAGGCATAATCATACTGAATGTAAATGGGATATTTATGCTGTTATACACTTTAGTTCAGAATACAAAACAGTACAGTGTAGTGGATTGTATTGGGAAATTTTGGTTTCAGTGTTTGTTTTCAGAGCTTGTTTGCCTTTGAGCACATTGGCTCAGGATCAGACACTTTAACGCGATAGAAACCTGGAAATGAGTAATCACCTAGTAAGTCACTTCTGGAAAATGCTCTTGATTTAGTTTTTCCTGCCCCAAAGACTTTTGCTTGTATTTTAACTGTGTTGCAGAGGGAGGTGAGAAGGTTGCTGCTGTGGAGTTAATCAACACTGTTAGAAAGAATCTTGCTTCACCACGTTCAGCACTCACTCACTGACAGTGTAATGATGGATGAATTGCTTATTCTCATTATTTATCTTTATCATTTGGATGAATCTCAAGTGGACTGTGTGATCACTGAGGCATTTACATGGTCTGTTTTCTAAAGTGCGAACCAGGTTTTTTGTGACATTGTATCTTTTTAGTTTGGTTTGGTTGTTTTCACATTGCAGTGGCTAACTGCACCAAATAATACACATGGGAGTTCATTGATTGGTTTAAGATTTTGCTGGGAGAGAAGAACTCCATTACTTTCACACTAGAGCCAAAAGTTAAACGACAGTGTTTGTTTCATTTTTACTAGCCTATCACTGTATAAAATCCAGATCTATCCCTCACATATATTCTTGACACAAATGTATTATCCTACTCATAGTTTGAGTTAAAATTGAAATGCTTAATGTGAACATTTGGAGATGAATGGACTTATTCGCATTTATAAGCAGCGCAGTTGGTTTCCTGGTACGTTAACCTAAATCTGCAACGAGAGACTGTCAAACACTAACTAAAAAGGTGCGAAGATGAAGCCGCTTCTCTTTCTAATTTTCCCGTTCCACCTTAAATGGTGCCGCATTTACATTCGGCGCCTCAGTCAGAATTTAAGGTGGAATGGGCAAGTTCAGCAAGAAGCTGGCGAGTGAAAAGCGACTTCAGCCTCGTAAAACAGGACATTTTACAAGAAACTATTCAACTTTTGAGGAAAAGTTTTCTGGCAGAGTTGGAGGAAAAGCGACTAAAGCTGAAGCTTAAAGCAGAGCAAAGTAAGTCCGTGTTTTCGTTTATATTGTTTAGCCTAAATTAGGACATCATACTGAGACATTAAATGTTGTGGCTCCCAAGCTGGTTTGATTTTTGTTGAAAGTTTAAAATGGCTCGTCTTAACATTTGGGTTGTGACTCCTGATCTAACCTGGCTTTAATGCAAAGGGAGTCGGTTGGATTTCTCACTCATCCAGTAGTGTTTTTGTTATGTGCCGCCACAGACTGTCCGGGCGCTGCACTTCCGCACTTCCAGGTTCCGCCTTTTGCGTTCCGTCAATGTTAGGTTATAAATTAAATATTTAGAAAATCGATTTTTGACTTTTGTGAATCGATTCAGAATCGTCCACGTCCGCATCGCGATGCATCTAAGAATCGATTTTTTCCTGCACCCCTAATGGATGCCTACTTAAATTTGTATTCAGGAGCTGGTTGCCTATTCTTTTTAACTTGTTATTTTAGATTCTTATAAATCATTCACAGATCAATCATTATGATTTTATATCAAGAGCGATCAAGGGAAAGCCTGGAAGTGATTCATACTCAGCTGAAATGGACAAGATTACGATGGAGTCTTTGACAAGGGCCAGTCAAAAACCAACTAAATGTGATCAGCACCGCTTGCCTCGAAATAGCCAGAATAGTTGAATTGGGATCAAGCTAATGTTTTCTAAAGGTTTTGGTATAGTGCTGATGCTGCTTCTTCTCTTCTACAGGGATCTGAACATGTCTGAGTTTGTCTGCGACCCTAAAGCTGGCCCCTACATCTATGACCTCGTCGCTGTCTCTAACCACTATGGAGGAATGGGTGGAGGCCATTGTGAGTCGTTTATATTGCGATTCTTCCCTCTCATGTTATGAAACACTTGCTTCCCCTAAAGAGATGAATCATTCCTCCTTACAGCTCTTAGCTGGTTAATATTTATTCATCTTATCTCATTCTGTCTGTGTAGCCCAGATTTTTTTGTTGACTTGTCACTGTTCTTTAGATTTTATTTTCGGTTTTATCTTCCAACAGCTTTCCCCACACCTTTCTATTTGTTCCTTACAAACGTTCACTGTTTCTCTGGAAACTTGATCAGGTGTCTAGTGTTAGCATGGTTTTCTTTGAAAAAGATCTGTCTATTCTGAATAAGACTAAGGCCTTTTGTCATACACTCTGTAGTAAATAACACTGGTTAAATGGTGAAGACTTCAAGTTGTTTGCAATAAATATTGCAAGTGACCCCAACCAGTAACTTTTCTCACTACCTCTTGCAGACACGGCGTATGCTAAGAATAAGACTGATGGGAAATGGTATTACTTTGATGACAGCAGTGTGTCCTCTGCCTCTGAAGATCAGATAGTGGTAAGATACTCAAATTTGGAATTTTATCTTCATCTAAAGATGTTTGTGTTTCCCCCGTCAAACTGACACTTCTTTTAAATCATCATCTCTTTTCGTTTTCAGACTAAAGCAGCCTATGTACTCTTCTACCAACGTCGAGATGGAGAAGGTCCATCCAGATCCACTCCATCAGCATCTCTTGGAGGAGCTTCTGAGTCCTTGGAAGACCACATGGACACCAACTGAAGTTCATTATTCTTTAAGGACGGGCACTAAAATAAAAGCTATGTGAACGAAAAACCAACGACGCATCGATGCACATCCCAGGCTTTTCGGTGATTTTGTTTTTTTTCCAAGACTTGGAGGCCCTGTCTTTTACGCTTTATTTTAATTTTCTTCACAAATGTACACATCTACCAAGAGCCAAGAAGTATGACGTAAGAACAAATAAGTGAAAGAAAGAAAATCAATAAATGAGAATTTTAGTTTGAAGCGTGACATTACAGACTTTCTCCCTGGACCTTGTTGCCTGCTGAGCACATTTCTTTAGTTTATAAGGAGGCAGAGGATGATACGGATATTCAGCCTCTCGCTGGACATCGAGAATGTTAAGTTGCCTGAAATATTGCAATGAAAGCGCATACTTTTCTGTAACCCAGTGGAAAAGTCAAAAGAAGCCAAATGCATTGTGTTGTGACAACCAAAGTTGTATACATGTTGATGGCATTGGAGATGATGAGGACAAGGGAAAATTGCCTAGATATAGACAGAAAAGTCTGAGCAATGTATGCAAACGAAGATACATTTAATTTTCCTTTTCCCCCTCCATTCACCCTGCGTACTCGAAGGTGTTTTGTATTATGTGCCTCTTGTGAGGAATCGCTTCTTCTCTGAAAAATGCTTGTGTCCATAATCCACATTTTAGACAGAAGGCTTTCATTTATTGAGTAGACAGTGTCTCCATTGCTGTGTTCAACCACGAGGCTTTCAACTTACTGCAGTGATATTTTTGCAAGCGTTCATTTACGCATATTTCACTTTAAGGCTTTATCCTTGAGGCCTGGGGTAGACAGTATAGGCTGAACTATAAGTTATGTGGTGAGGTTGATTATACTGCTGATCTTCAATATTGTGCTGCTCTCTCTGATACGTTAGCACTAGCGGCCTTTCTGCCCCAAGAACTGTTAAAAGGGGGCTTGTGTGAGTGGATTTAGATTTAAACTTAAAGGTGGTACACATACATGTCCTGCTTGTCCCAAAAAAGGCTGAGGTTCATCACATGGCGTTTCCTTAGTTGAGACCACTTTTGCAAAGTTATATGCTTTGGAATCTTCCAGTTTGGCAGATTTTTAATAGATCTTTGTTTTGGATGTTTCTCCTCTTGTTAAAGGGCGGACAGAGGAGTTTCGAGCCACTGCTCGAAAGTGGTGCTAAATTTGAGACTTGAAAAGGCTGCAGTTTTTGGCACAGATGAATATCTTACCCAGGAAGCTTGGGGCTGATGCTATAAAGAGGAAACCTTACACGTTCAAGTGACTACAACGCTACCCTGCCCTATCTGCTACTCTGTGGTGAATTTGCCATGTTATTGGTTGTGGCATTACTTTGCTTGTCAGATGACTCAGTGCAAAACTCTTACTGATGTAAACATGCTTCATACTGGGAGGATATTACTGACAGCCCTTCCTCCCTGTTATGAATTTACCAAAACAGTCAGTATGCATCCATCTATCTTGTGCTTTTCTCTACTGTGGAATAGCAGCATGCAAAATGGAAAATTGTTGGTTGGTATCCCCACATGCTTCTCTCTTTTCAGTCTGTCAGGCTGTGACAAGTACATGCTTGATATCCTGCTATAACCTATGACATGGATACTAGAATTATGACATACTGGCCAATGCACTTTTTTACCTGCCACATTATCAGAATAGCATCCATTTTAAAATTCATTTTGAGAGATGTTGCATAGATGTAAATAGTCATGTACTATCTACAGAATAGGATACATAACTTCTTTGTGTTCTGATATTTATCATGGCAATATGTGCAACCCCGGATTTTGAAACTACATTTAAATCAAAAAGACAATAAAGAATTGAAGCCTGATGAGAGCGTCCTGTTTACTTTTGTATGATATTCAAGCACCGTCCTGCTGCTGTAACAAAACCTCACTACCTACACATTATCTACAATTCTACATCCATCAGTCATGCGTCATAAAATATTCACATGATGTAAAGGGCTAGATTTTCAAATGGTGTGAAAAGGTTAAAAAAAAATAGCTTTTGATGATGCATGACAGCCTACTAGGTATTCAAGTCGCATTGCATCCTATCAGCTCAGTTTACTTCTAGTGTTTATCTTGGAAAAGCTTTCCAAGGGCATCTTGGCTTTAAGGGCTACGTAAATGTCAACAGTAAATAGGGACGTTTCGGATTAGGCCGCAGCCGAGGGACTACAGAACATGAGTATTTTTGCCCTGAACCCCAGCATCCTTAAGACCTTCTACACCTGCACTGTGGAAAGCATCCTGACGGGCAGCATCACCACCTGGTACGGGAACTGTACTGTTCGTGAGAGGAAATCTCTGCAGAGGGTGGTGCGGACAGCACAGTCCATCACCGGGGTTCAGCTCCCTAACCTATTGGATTTATACACCAGTCGCTGCCTGAGGAAATCCAGAAGGATTATGAAGGACCCCTCCCATCCTAGTCACTGTCTGTTCTCTCAGCTGCCGAGTGGTAGGAGGCTCAGAAGCTTAAAAGCCAGAACCAGTCGGCTCAAAGACAGCTTCTTCCCCCATGCAACCAGGCTATTGAACAGCCAGTAATCACTGCTCTGCCCAGCCCAACCCTTCCCATTACACGTACGTGCACCCACTGTACTCCCGCACTTTACTTGCATAGCTGGACTTTGAATACCTATCCAAAGACAATACTCTCCCCCTGCGCTTCCACTTAACTTCCTGTACCTTGCACTTTACTAAATACTCTGCCACCTACTGTACCATCTTCTACCTCCACACCTAGTGTGATTACTTGCACATCTACATAGCATTGTAATATCCATTACTATATATAGTATATAGTTGATTACACTCACTCTACATTCCCAGTGCAATATTATATGTCTCGGTGCAATATTATTATTTTTAAGTTATTGTGTAAGATTATATGTATATATTTTAGTTTAATTGGTTTTATCTATTCTTCTATCCTATCTATAGTTTTGTTTATCTATGTGTAAATACTGTTCTCTGCATAATTTGTGGAACTCGCACTCAAGTTTTTCACTCACCTGTGTCCCTGTACTCTTGTGATGTGACAATAAATCTGATTTGATTTGATTTGATTTGAAGTGTGCATGACTCAGCAAGCAACAAACACTAGTTGCCATGGGATTTACATTAATATGCAATGTACTTCTTGGAGCTACAGCAGTAGTATGTATGAGGCAGGAAACTCTAGCTAGTACTGTAGTTAACTATTGGGGGGAAAAAAAAACCCTCAAGACTCATAATGAACATCCATTTATTGATCAGCAAAAGGCGTGTTGTGCCGTACATGGGCTCTATGCAACTGTTAAGTCAGGACTTTTACAAGGCATCTGACACCCCCCACATCATATTTAAAAGGGCATCTTCATTCAGTAAACGTCCCAACACAGCAACACTGGGCACAACAAGGGCACAACCAGCTACCACAGATGAAAAACCATACAAAGATGTACTGATTTAGCTAGCAATGTTCAGGAGCTTCTTTATGTCCCCCTCAATGTTGCTGGTCAGGTATCTTCTGCTGTACCGTTTGAACGGGATCCCATCTGGTGCAATGAGGAACTTCTCGAAGTTCCAAGCAATGTCGTTCCTGCAGACAGGACTCCAGATGATATATTTAGGGTTGCCCATCAAGCCCACAGGTTCGTCGCTGGGGAATGGCAGCTTCTCCTTGAGGAAGACAAATAGGGGGTGGGCATCTTTCCCATTCACATCCACCTTCTCTAACAGCTGGAATTTAGGTTCAAAGCCATTTCCGGGACGGACGTATTTTAGGGACATTGGGATCTCTTCGTTTGAGCAGTTTTCCTATTAAAAGAGAAAGAACATAATGCTGAATTATATGTAGAGCAGGCTGAATGTACAGCTGCAGACTTGCATCTTATTGTGCACACGTATATGTTCCACTGACATCCTATCAGATAATGCATTTATAGTTTATCTGACCACTGACGGTACGCACAACTCAGTCTGAAGAGACATTTCTAAAAGAGTGAATGGACATAGAGCTGAATAATACATAAAGCTGGTTGCCTGACATGGTTTAAATCACGTAACATGCCTAGAATGATGTGCTTTCGTGTATGGGAGGTAAATCAGGCGGTCATCTGAGGAGACACTGGAGACGCACCTGCCTGCTGTCCATGTGCTAAAGGTTCAGATTACAAATGGTACAGCATGGTAGCTACTATCGACACAAAATGTTTAGCAAGGCACCAAATAATGAGATTTAGCCACATGTGAACCAAAAAGTCAGATGTATTCGTCGTCGTCTTCTTCTTCTTCTTTTATTATTATTATTATAGATATTAAAATGTATACAACGTTGCTTCGTAGAAAAAAACCGTACATTAAGCACTCAAAAAAAAAACAAAAAACTACTGCTTCCACTGAAAACTTACATCAATAATTATTCAATAGACACATAAGCGCTCTTTGTTGTTTAAAAAAATGCGTTTTACTGGAGGGGTTTCAATTATTCCTCCACAGAGAGACGAACCACCTCTTCGAAAACAGAAAACGAAGGAAGAGAAGAGAAAGAAATAGATGAAAAGTCCTTTACCTGATGTCCAAACTGATTGCAGGGCACTCCCAGAACCACGAGCCCCTTCTCTGAGAAGCGCTCATGGAGCTCGTTCATCTGGGTGTAATCCCTGGTGGTCGTACCTCAGAGAGACGCGACATTCTCGATAAGGACCACTTTACCCTGTAAAGATGAAAACTTGAATTCTTCTCCAGTCAGCGTCTTCGCCGTAATGTCGTAAAACGACTTCACGTTAGCCATGCTAGCGCCTTCGGGAGAGCCGCGACCTCGCAGAGCACTCACGACACAACAAGCGACAAAAACTCAGTTACGACGAACTTAAACCGATGAAAGAAAGGAAGCAGCGGCGCAGGAGGAGAGAGAACCACAGACAACCAACCAATCCCTGTGTTTACTTCAACACCGTCCACACCCGCTGTCAGGAGACGGCCCCCAAAGCTTTAGGGAACGTCGTGAAAATGTGTCATGGATAGAGACAAGAAAACAACAATCTGTGTATAAATCAACAGATATGTACATGTAGTAAAAATTAAAGGAATAAACGAGCAAACGGTCATTTAACTGTAAAACGTATAAGATCAAATACAAAGAAATTATTTTCTTACATTCATTTTTACATTCGTTTTTGAAATATTTAATTGTCCCACAATCCCTTACAGTTTACGAAACATTGGCGCGGGAATCTGTCTTGAAACTGAAGCCTGGACTTTTGAGGGAGCTCGAAACAAAGTGAAACGGCCAAAGAGACCTAGCGAAGTAGGTTTATTTTCATTAATTTTGAATGTAGCTCTCTACAGTCGCTACTAATAGGTCAGTGGTTATAGCTCAGAATGTCAGTCTGAGTTTACTATGAACGGCTAAAAGCTGGTTAGCTCACAACGACGCGTATGCTAGAAAGAAAGCCCAGTTAGCAAACCTAGCTAGCGTAGTTTGACATCAACAGGCGATACTAAATAGTTTACAAGGTAGCTCTTCGGTAGCTTTTAAGTTACTGTGTTCAGTCGCCCACTCATTCGATGTTAAGTACAGAGGCGACGTTAGCTGGCAGGCCCTCACAATATTTCGAGTTGGTCGTTAGAGGAAACGTATCCTGCATTTTTCTTATCACAGTAATGTTTATTTGACCATTTTCCAACCTTTCTTTAACCTTTAGAATGAAACAGTCTGTTTGTGTTACCTTGCTTGTCAGACTGATATACACAGATCGACCATAACATTAAAACCACCTACTTGTTTCTACGCTCATTGTCCATTTTATCAGCTCCACTTACTGTATAGGTGCACTTTGTAGTTCTGCAATTACAGACTGTAGTCTAACTGTTACCTGTTTCTCTGCATGCTTTGTTAGCCCAAATAACAATATTTGTCTGTGTATAGACACATATATTAGTAGGTTAATAGGTAGCTAGCCAGATGATTCAAATTGATCCAGTTTTTAATTAATTTATCCTACCAGCAGGTAGCTGGAAAGAGTGTGAACAGCAAACTAACGTTAGTGGAGCATGATGCGCAAGAAGAAAAGATCATCTGTTTCTGTGGATGAGGGACCAGCCTTAGATGCGCCCAGTAAGTAATCTTATGTGTTCTATGTAACATGTAGGAGGGTGCATCTTTTCACTTCAGACCAATCTGAGCTCTGAAACTGAATTGTGATGTTGTTCTGTTGTATTTATCTAGAATCCAAGAAAAGCAAGTCCAGTGGGAGGCCCAGCAAAGCAGCAGTTCCTGATCAGGTTCCTGATTCTGTTTTTGTTCACATGCTTCGAGAATCGGGAGTCACCTTGAGATTAGGCAACATGTCTAATGAGATTGGTAAGATCCTGCATGTAGACATTGGCTGTGGCACACATGGCATACACAAACACTGGAAAGGAACCACACTCATACGTTGATTTCTCACTTTCTCAATATATGCTTTTTGCTGAAATAGCTGTGGATCAAGTCGTGTTTCAGAAGAGACTACAGCAGCATTTACGAAAGGATCCCAGATATCCCAGTGTGAGTGTACAAATGCAGGTTTTGATTTCAGTTGCTTCTCTGCAATACAGTATAATGCAATAAATCATGTCGAGTTGACAGCTGTGATTTCCACTTGCTCTGTCAGATAATTCAGGAGTTTATATCTGGTTTCGAGACTCACATTGAAGACCCAGAGAAATTAAGGAACTGCCTGCTTCCCTGTGTGCCCCGTTCTGCAGGCGAGGGAAATGCCAGGTATTGTGTGAAGACAGTGTGGGCCAGTGGTTGAAGAAACGTTGATGTTGCATTACACACTTAAAAATATATAGAACATAGAATACATAGAACCCTTTTCAAAAAGCTACTATATAGAAACATCTGCAGCACATTCTCAATCGATCTGAAGAACGCTTTCATGATGCAAAGAGCTCTTTAATCATGCAAAGGTTTCTGTGAGTGTTCATGATTCTACATAGAACCATTTTCTTTACTAAAGAACCCTTGAAGAACCAGCTTTCTTAAGAGTGTACAATAAGTCATGGGAAGGTAATGTGGTGTTTTCGTAGGATTCATAGGATTAGATTAGATTTATGTGGTTTTGTGTTTTGTGTCTTTTCCTGCAACTTCAGTTCAAGCTCGTTTCAGGAGAGCCTGGTGCGTCTGCTTCTAGGTGTAGAGATGCTTCAGGTAAGGAGCTGTTTTATTTTATATACAACCTGCAGACGTTCACAGATAATTTAACCAGTCATGTGTAATATATAAGATATACCGGAATCATATATCAGCAGATAATTGAAAAGAGTAATTGACAGGTAGATGATTAGATTTTACTGATATTTCCAACCAATATTTGAGCATTGACCCAGTTTCTGTATCTGCGCACCCCTGAAGAATTAATAAGACATTTCTTTCCTTTTTGTAGACGACGATTATAAACACTTTGTTTGAGAAGCTTCCAGAGTTCATGTTTGAGGGGTAGGTCTTGTTCGTATCACGAATTGTTGATTTGATCTTCTGTATAACATCTATTTTGGGTGCATTTCAATTTGAGTATGCAAATATGTTAGATGCAGCCATTCAGGAGATCATGATCTGGCTGCTTTTATTAGTCATAGTATTACAGGTGGGGGTAGCATGTGATCTGGTCAGAGATCAGTGATTGGTTGTGTTTGGCTCTGTTTCAGAGTTGGAGAGGATGGCCTCAATATTCCACGTGTCATTATAAACCAGTTAAAGTGGCTTGATCGAGTCGTGGATTGCAAAGTATGTAGCTTACCATCTCTTGTGTTGTTCTCTACAGTGATAACTGTGCAGCCAACCTCAGGAGATCCACATGTAGGGCTGGGTATCATTCACAATATTTCAGTACTAATGCCAATACTGGTACTTAGTGTTTGATACAGAATCCTGAACAGTATTTTTTCTATACCTTATTTTAAATTAAAACCTAAATTTAGTTTAGTCTAAAGAAGAATTAGTGTGAGGTGCTGGAAGTGGGTATATTTACTTATTGCTGACTAATTTTATTAACTAAAGTGCTGATGTTAATGACATGCATATGGAATGTAATTTAGATTCTAGAAGTCTAGATTTTGGACCAAGCATGCTTATTGCTTACACTGACTAGTTTGGTATTTGGTATTAAATCATATGGATTTTTTTGACAGTCTGTAGTATTGAAGTAATTTAATATTTGAGGGGTAGGTCTTTTTTTGTGTCACAATTTATTGTTTTGATCTTCTGTTTAATATCTATTTTGGATGCATTTCCATTTGAGTATGCAAATGTGCGTTTCTACAATGTAGAAAAATAACATAATTGCAGAACTGCAGCTGTAGACTCATGTTAATAGTGTTGTCTACACCAGATTTTGTTTATTTCAAAGTTTATTTTTTACACTCAACTTACAGCCCAGCTTAGCTGCTTTGTTAATGTGTGCTTGATGTGTGGTGTGTGTAGGATTTGGCCAATAAGCTGATGCAGCTGGTGTCTGTGGCTCCCATTGAGATCCAGCGGGACATTATTACCAGCTTGCCTGAAATACTGGAGGACTCGCAGCATGGAGACATGGCCAGAGAACTCAAGTAATGATTTTGATTTAGAAGAGTCCGGAGTCGGCCTAAATCTCTAACAGATCTAGCCCCTTAAACATTTTCTCTTTGAGTCATCAAGAAGGTTGTTGGCTGGTTGTTACATTATCTGTCATTTGAATCAGTCATCTCTGTATGGTTGAAAATGTTAGAACACTGTATGTCTAACATTTTCAACCTTAACCTCTGTGCAGTGCTCTTCTCCAGGAGAACACCCAGCTCACTGTCCCCATCTTGGATGCACTGTCTAGCCTTAACCTCAGCACAGCTTTACTAGCTGAGGTATCCACCACCCTACCGTAAACACGCATACATTTTCTACAACATATACCTCAGACGTGATGCAGCTTATATTGTATGCTTGCCCACTTTTCTTTCTGTCTGTCTGTATGTTTGTGTGTTGGTCAGGTGCGTGGAGCAGTCATGTCCACTATCTCTGCAGTGCAACTGGAGGATCTTCCTATTGTAGTGAAGTTCATCTTGCACTCCATCTCTACTTCAGATGCCAACGAGGTCAGAGCTTGCAGACAATGTGTCTGAATCTGTCAATAAAACTGTCAGTGGTTCTGTACTAAAACTAAAATTTGCGTTAACAATGTCACTAAAACACCTAAAAATGTCTTTCAACATGAGAATCCTTAAAGGCCTTTTTAATTAAAAAGATAATTGTAAATTGTCTGAAAATGTCTTCTTTTTACTATTTTAATTATTCAGTTCTGAGGTGATGCCTAAAGACTGGGTTGAAAGTCAACGCACTAACTCAGTATAGTACGCACTAATCACTATATATATCCAACTGACAGCTTTTTGGTCAGAATGACCACTGATGAAGGGGTAGAACTTTCAACAGTGTCTAACAAACTGAAAAGATGTATCACGTTTTTGATCTGTTTCAACTAAATAGACATTAATACATGGCATTTTTGAGTTTGTGTGCATTGTGTGCTTTTTTAAAAATAATGCAGCAAGATGAACAAAATCTTTGTGTACCTGTGTGTGTTTTTTTGTAGGTGGTGTCTGACCTACGTAAAAAGCTGGAGCTGGAGCAATGTGTGTTGTTCTCTATGCTGCAGGCCTCTCAAAGTTCAGAGAAGAATAAGAAGAACACAGCGTAAGAAGACATTTGCCACTCTGTTGCTCTCGTTCGAATTATAGTCTGAAGAAATATTAAGGCTACTAGGCCTGTGAAGGCATGCAGCATGTCAATGTCTTTTGTTTCTTCTCATTTTCGTCATTTGTCTGGTGTCCGGTCCTCTAGTGTCCCATCATGCAGCAGTAAAGACAGTGTAGCTCTAGTGCTGGAGGTAATAAAGTCAGCTGTGCGATTTCAGAAGACCATCTCTGAGGCATGGCTTAAGGTGAGCAGAGGCTTCACAGCTCACTTCTTTGGCTGTGCAGATCAATGAGCAGTGGAAATCCCTTTAACTGACACCCCAGTTATGCAGTCTGGTCAAGGTGTTATGTTTTTTTGTCCTGCAGGCAATAGAGAATGTCACTGAGCTTGAAGACCACAAGGTGCACATTTTAAATATGAATTGATCTACATTGAATTTTGTTCTCCATTCACATTGTTTTTATTGATTGAATTTCTGCATGTGACACTTCTCTCATTGTTTATTAGGTGGTTGATATGTTGGTGTTGCTCATCCTCCACTCCACTAATGCTAATCAGAGCCGACGTGGGGCAGAGAGGGTGCTGAAGGCTAAAGTCCGTGCTGGCCTCATTCAGGAATCACTGCTGAATAAGACCTTCAAGGGTTATGCTCAGGTCAGCCTCAACTTCTGTATGTTTCGTGTTTCCTTTGGGATGTTCAGTCCTTTAAGGGCCATTTTAAATGCTAAATTTTTGACTTCCTAATGGAGAGAGCACTTGATATTTATCTGTTTTTAACATTTACTTTCCATATTTGTTCTTCCTCTTCTTGAACCTAGATTGATCTCTGCTTTTTCTCAATTGTATTTGTTTGGGATGCAAATTTTGGCAAATTCTTTTGATTGATAACTAGTTGTCATCAGTTGAGTCTAATAATCATTAACTGGCAAGCCTAAAATCAAGGATGCAACCCATTACAACATTAATTAAAAATGTGCAGCCAGAAGCAGCAATTAAAAATGCACTGTAAACCCCCAAGAAAAAAACATGCCTCATATTTTTTTTCAGTTTTCAGGAGGATGGTAGCATAATTGTGTTACAGTGTCCAATATTGAAAGCAAACATCCACAAGCGATAAAACAGAACTATTTCATCCATGTTCTCTTAGAGGAAGTGTGATGTATGGCGGTGTGATGAAATCACAAATGGCTATGCAGAACTATAGCTAAGGTCCCGTTTTGAGTGGTTAATGTGGTATAATTGTGTCTGTGCATGTGTCTGTTTTTGCATAAATTATCTAGTATAACTGCTTGGGTATTGTTGTGTAGGTGATGCGTGGCTATTTCCCCTCCATCCTGGCATTGGCTCAGGGGCTGTTGCGCTCTCCAGACTGCTGTGTGGTACCTTTTGGAGGACACATGTATAAACAGGCCTTCACTGCCTTCGACTCTTACTGCCAGCAGGTAACACACTGTCCAACTGCTCATGTGTCCCAAAGCACTACCACTTTACAGTCTGGATGTGGGGACAGGTGAATGTTTTGTTAGTAATATTACCAACAAAGTGCTTCTTCAGTTCTTGTTTATTTTAAAATTCTTGACAGTTTTGTAACCAGACAAGTTGCAGTGATCTATTGTTTGGGCTTTTAAATATTCTAAAGATATAAGGGGCTTGTTTTTTTGTTTCTTAACTGTTTGTGTTTGTGTGTATAGGAAGTGGTGGGCTCTCTGGTCACACATGTGTGCAGTGGTGTGAGTGGGGAGGTGGATGTGGCACTGGAGCTGCTGTGTGAGTTGGTGTCCCAGAAGCCCACAGAGATGTCTCAGTATGCAGTGTTTGTCAAGGTAATCACCGCCCCATACAATTTTGCACAATAACAAGTGGATCACAGTTGGGTGCTAATGTGGCATATTATGACCTTCTCATAATACATTTACAAAAGAGACATAGCCATTTTTAATTCTGCATTTTTGGTCATTTACATTTTCAAAAATCCATACATGCTTTTTATACAGTCTCAGAGAAATACATGCTTCTTTTGAGAAAGCATTGCAAGGGAACAACATAAGCAGAAATTTCAGACCATGAACTGCTGTGAAACTGGATTTACAACTAGATCACGTTGTACCATTTGTTTTTGTAGGGGTACAAATGTAGGAAAATTATTAAAATGCAGACTTTTTAGCATGACAGCCCACCAATGCCTAAAGCTTCTGCTTTTCCAAATTGCAGTAAATACATCATCATATGTCTATTTGAAAATTGAGTCAAATCTATACATCTGCAATGATGACAGTTTTTTTTAATAGCAGTTGTCCTCCAGTACCAATATATTTCCAAAATCATTGTGCTTTTCTAGTGTAAAATCTAGAGGACTGTTGTCTAGTCACTATACCTGCTATGTGATTTCCTTTACTGAAACATTGGATTATGTGATGTGTAGGGTATTCTGGACTACATGGAGAACCTGAGTCCTCAGCAGATTCGCAGACTCTTCCACCTGCTAAGCTCTCTGGCTTTCGGGCACGACCAACATGGCAGCCATATTCAGGTCAGAGCTATAAACATACATTTCACCAAGTGACCCACCTTCTGGTTAAGCTTTTTTTTTTCTTACTCTCTCTCTTATGCTCTGTCTGCAGGATGACATGCACATAGTGATCCGAAAGCAGTTATCCAGCACAGTGCCTAAGTACAAGCGTATTGGCATCATTGGTGCTGTTATGATGGTGGGGAGTATGGGGGCACGAAGGTGCGGTCTACAGTCTTTGTGTAAACGTTCCTTTTTTTTTTTTCATTGCTTGCAGATTTACTTGATAGACACGGACTGAAAAGTGATGCCCAAGTTCATGTTAACCCTTAAAAGGCCAAAGTTTTATTACACACTTCTATAACCTAAGAATAATCCGAGCAGTTTGCATTGGAGTCCCTGTAGTTACTGAATAATAAGGCTTAGTGTGTAATAAGCTTGGGATTTTAAGAGTTTAGTACTCGACTGCTGTTGCTGTGGTTTGGTCAAAAGGCAACAATAGAATGATTAAATACATCTGTAATAATAAACAAGGACAGTATAATTACAACAGTTTTTTCTGTGATGTTGCAGGAGCAAAGCAGACTCTCAGGGAGGCACATTGCACAAAGAAACACACCGACAGGTGGGCAGTATGTTTAAGTGTGTTTATAAAAGTGTAAGTGTGTGGTTGTGTTGTTTTTATGTGTACACGATTATTTATAATAAGTGAATGTATGATTAGGTGACGACTCTGCTGGAGCTGGTGCGTTCATGCAGCGAGGGCTCAGCTGAGGCTGCTGCTCTTTATTATGATGAGCTGGCCAACCTGCTCCAGACCTGCAAACTGGACCCACTGGTGCAGGTTTGTTGTTCTTTCAGTCCTATTTAGCTTCAGGACTTTTACAGTTGAATTCAGTTCTCTGTGCAAAAGACTCTGGGCAAAGTGCTTCGTTCTGCATGAAATTCTTAGAGCAGGAATACAAAATGCAGATTATTATATTAGTTGTTATTATTAAGAAGTGTTAACCCCTAGAAATTGGTTTAATAGTTAAAGTAGTGATTATTTTTGCTCAGTGTAAATGTAACTACATAATAACATACAAATATAATTCAAGTTTAATTTGCATTCTGTTTGTTTCTATGCCAAACAGTGACAACATAGCAAAAATGTAAAGGATGTTTTCTTTCCACTAAACAAGACTGTACTCTTAAAAATAACTTTACACCAAATTCAGATCACAAACACAAATGTATTGTCTATGTTCTGCGTCAGGTGTGGATTGGAAAGAGTGTGTTGGAGGATTTCCAGGAGGATTTTGTAGTGGACCTCGGACCAGAGATAGCAGGGTGAGAAGCTCAGCCAATATGTGTTGTGCACTAAATGGGTTACTCATTTCTTTGTTTATTAGTTTATGTGTGTATTATTTGTATATACAGCATTTCCCACTTTTTATGAAACATAAAAACAGATATCCTGAATACAGTAACTCTGTATTACTTGAATTAAATAACAACTATGTTGTAGTCAAAACTACAGTTAAGTAAATGATTAACTAATATATGTTTATCACTCTAAATTATTCTTGTAAAACTATTCATTTTCTGAGCCACTTTTCAATAGAAAGCACTTAAGACATAGATAAAAACAGAGTAAAGGTTTTATTATTACTTTAATGACTACCTGCTGTTCCTGAGAAATATGTTATCAAAGTGATATGTACGAATGTGTGTGTATGTGTGTGCGTGCATGTGTAGTTCATTTCCGTTCCCCGCCTCAGTGATGTATAATCTGGATGAGGATGAGAGTCAAGGAGGAATTGCCGTCAATCTGCTGCCTCTGATGTCCCAGGATGTGCCCCACAGAGCAGACAGTCGCATCTTTGCCAGCCAGAGGAACAGCAGGTCAAATACACAGTATTCTTATGTTAGCAAGCTGATATTGACATTATGACAATGCTATACTAGCAAAGCATTGCCTTAATGAAGTGAATTTATGAGCATATTGATATGTCATTTTTATGAGAGGAAAAGAGATATATTAACCCTCATTTAGTAAAATAATGAACCACCAGTATTAAAATTAGATTGTGATAGACCAAAACGAAAGTCAGTAAATTCTCTTCTTTTCTCTTTCTTTCTACAGTTGTAATGTTGTCATAAAATGAAATACACAAATAATTAACAGCACTAATTGTTAACAAACAGTATATAAAAATCACCATGCAAATGACCAAAACACTTATTTGTTTTCTCTCTCGGTCTCTCCAGGCATGTGTCACCTCTGTGCCTGTCATCGTTCTTTCGGCTCCTGAGGCTTTGTGAGGAAGAGCAGCACCAAGGTGATCTGGAGGAGATTGATGCTCTGCTTGGTCAGTCAAACTGCCAACACACTAAAAACGTCAAAATATGTAACATTCAGGACTGCTCCATATTGTGGTGTTGTTTTGTTTCATAATAGAAAGGATCATCTAAGAGATAATACTAAACAGACAGAAGTAGATTCTAGTGGTATATTCCAACATCAAATAAAAACATGAGGATTGCATTTCAATTCATTCAGTACTTTATTCACAAGAAATATTTAGGACAAACAGCCTCAAAGGTACTTTTAGCTCTTAGGCAGTCACTTAGTTGTTTCATTTTGACTTGAAAGTGCACAACAGTGTCATCATTTTACAGCTCTGGCACCTGAGCTGTAGCTCTAGTCTGGTCCTCTGAAAGGCTGAGACTGTCTGCCTGAACACAAAGGCCTTTGTATGAGAGCAGGAAGTAGCCATGGACTCTGCTCACAGATTCTCAGGAAAAGGGCATCATACAAGTACATGTTTGTACAAATACTTGAGCAGGGAGTGCTTCAATACTCCCCTGGTACTCACCATAGCGATGCTGATGCTAACTTCAATGGCAACAAAATGTTTAGTTTAACAATTATTCTTTTTAAATGCTCTTTTGTAGTTAGGTAAAACAGTGTAAAAGGTTTCGTTTAAAATGAATGACTACATTAACTGAGATCTTACACATCTTGTCTTTTGTCTTCAGTTTGAGAAATGAGCTACAATTCACTCTTTCCACCAGTGTCTTGGAAAAGTGGATGAGTGCATATTGTAAACTTTTTTTTTAGAGGTCTTAGTTACAGTTTTAGGCTATGAAGGACCAACTGGGTGAACCAGTTTGCTACAGCGCCACCCTGTGGCAGACCAGTGCTGCAGCTATAGTTAGTTAAGAATACCAAAGACAGAAGCTTGCCAATTGTTTTCACTTTTAAAAACACCATATATTACCAGAATAGAAGCAATTAAGCACACTTAATATGTCTGTCTGCGCAGCTGTTGTTATAAGATTGCAAATTACTGTGCTTGTATATCATATTTTATTTTGTAAATTTTTAGATTTGTGTGTGTGTCCGTATTATTAGGCTGCCCACTGATTCTGACAGACATGGAAGTGGTGGAGAAGGTGGAGAGTCTGTCTAAAGCAGAGCGAGAGTTCTTCTGTTCTTTGCTCTTCTACACCATCAACTGGTTCAGAGAGGTAAGTGCATTTGCGTGTTTGAAGTACACAGAAGGGGTTAGTTATTGCATATGATGCCCTTGTCCTTGCTTGTGTTACATTTTGTGTTGAATGTTTGTAAAAAAAAATGTAAACATTCACTGTAAAACTAATTAAAGACTACTTATTATTTTCATTTGAAAATGGATGACGTGTGTGTGTGTGTGTGGTGTGTGCGTGCCCATGTGTCTAGGTGGTGAATGCATTTTGCAGACAGAAGGACCCTGAGATGAAGATGAAAGTTGTAACCCGTCTTCAGAACATCACATACCTGCAGACACTACTGGAGACATGCTTGGCAGGTATTCTAAATATAAGAGTTTAAAGTGTTTAGAGACCCCTGGTCATTCTGCATATATCATTCTGTTCCTGCTCCAAAAACACATCTGCCAGGTAATCAAAGTGCTGGAGGAAGCAGTGTGCTGATTATGTGTCTCAGGTGTGTTAAGAAATGGACAGGGGTCCATGACAACAAAGTCCCTGTCTTAACGTATTTAATAAGTAACAGATATATATTTACTTGGGCACATGGTTAGATTTGACCAATATTTTATTTATTGTACCTCGGAAAAGTTGAATGTTTAAGTTGCTAATCCAGGCAGATGTATTTTCAATTTCTACATTTAATAAACATTTAGATATCGGCATCTGCAAATGTGTGCATGGAAAATATCGAGTATCAGTAGTGACCAAAAATTTCTGTATCGATGTATCCCTAATCCTCACCAAATTTGAGACATTTCAGGTGGGTTTTTTCTGTGGGTGATTGGATAAATCATGGTATTCACATGAATTAATGTGATGCAGGATAGTCATTAACCATGACACATGAAGATTTCACCAGTGTAGTTTAAATATGCTGTAAGGTATATCGCAATTGCTATATATAGCAATATTGTGATATCATGCAGTTCAAATTCATTCCAAATCTTAATGGCTTGAGTATGTGTGTTTCAGCCAGCCCTGGCTACACTCCTCCTTTGGCTAACTTTGATTGTGAGAGTGCAGAAGTTTTGCCCCCCTCCTCCTCCACTGCTTCTGCAAAGAAAGGAAAGAAAGGTAAAGGTATAAAATGCATCCAAGAAGCCACTGGCGGTGATTTTCATTTCCCACAGTCTCAGCCAAGCCAGCAAGCTTAGAGCTCTCCAGCACTTTCACATGTTACCTTTATTGAAATGTAAACACTGTTATTCCCATTTTTCTCAAGGCAGAACAGTGAAAATATATGAAAGATTTGTTATTCTACAAGACTATAGAGAACTCCTTTACAACATGTTTTAATACATTGTATTATAGCTTGTATGTATCCGTAAAGAAGATGTTACCTGGTGTGTTTCAGAGTTGACTGGGAAAAAGAGGAAAGCCTCGGCCAGTAAAAACTCTTCAGCAGACAGCACTCTGCTGGAGGAGGCTGCAGAGGCGGATGAGTCTCTACAGGCATGAGCAGTTCATTAATTACCACACATAAACATATTTCTGCATGTTATAATCAAATGACTTATCAGGGTGTTTGTTAGTAATATTCCCATTGAATTTTGGCAACCATATTGACATTTGTGGCAGGACCATCCAGAGAAGGAGAAAGAGGCCAAAGTAGGGGTCAGTCTGTCTTTATACTGGCCGTTCTTCAGGGAACTGGACATTGAGGTTATGAATGTGCTGCAGTGTGGTCTCCTTTCTCGATCAATACTGGATACAGAGCTCCATAGCAAGGTCAGTATAACTTCCATACAGTCTTTTCTATTCTTTTTCTTCTAAGACATGAATATTTGCTATCATGTCTTTACAGTGAGTTAATAATATTATAACTCTGTTGTTCCCAAAGTCAATCTGTGCTCTTTGTATTCGTGTTTTTTCTACTCTTAATACACCCAACCCAGGACATTGGTAGCTTTTTAATTAGTTATTGATTTGAATCAGGGGTGCTAGCAGCGGAAAAGGACAAAAGAGTGCATAATATGCTGTCCCCAGGACTGGGGTTAGAAACGCATGTTCTAACTAAAGAGTATACGATGAAGAGTAAAGAGTAATAAAGAGTACTGTGAAAAAGAAATGTGGCCTGCTGTTTTGTGTAGGTGAGAGAGGAGGTGCAGCTGGGTCCATCTGAGCTGGTGTTTCTGCTGGAGGACATGTGGCGCAAACTGGACTTCAGTTTGACTGCAGCTCCAGCCAAAAAAGCCCCGTTTCTGAAAGTATGAAAATGTGACACAACAGTACTGTGCAAAAGTCATGAGACCACCCTTAATTTATTTAATTTTCAGTTTAAACATAAGACATTAATAAGTGAAAGAGTTTTTTTGTAAAAAAAAAAAAAACGTTAATAATACTAATATTACTACTACTACTACTAATAATAATAATAATGATAAAAATAATAATGATAATAATACTTTAAAAAAAAAGGAGTTTCTAAAATTGCAGCTTAAAACAACGTGTTAAACAATATAGGGAAAATTAGACTTTGAGAAAGAAGAGAAAATCAAGTTCCACTTTTGCTTCAGATCTGAAAAAATCCACAGGTGTTTCTGTCCATCCTTCCACTGTAAGAATACAACTCTATGCAAGAAGCTGCTGGGGTTTTCAAAACACTAGATTTCCACTCCAAAGCCCAGACCTCAGTTTGAGATTACTTGGATCATAAGAAGCAGAAAATTCAACAGATGTCTAAGAGTGAACTTTGGAGGTGTAGAAAATGATCTCTTCTAATAAAAGAGTGCAATAAAAGAATGGAAGCTGCAATAAAGACAATGGGTAGACACACTAAATACTGAAAATTGTGATATTTAATTTAGTTGTTGTGGCTTTCGTGTGGTTTTCTATTGAATATGTGCTTTCTGCTTTTTCTGGTGCTAAAAAAATGAATGACCTGTAATTAATGGCTGTTTTGACTGGAAATGAAATGAATGGTGGTCTCTGATTTTTGCTCACTACATACACAGAGATCTTTAATAGATTAACGTAAATTGCAAGTTTGGCCTGCGTGCCCAAATTCAGTGGTTCCGTTATGTGTTGTGGATATTGACTGTGCTGTGTAGGTGAAGGCAGACAAGACAGTGGGCTTCTCTCACCTGCAGCAGAAGAGCTCCAAAGATGTAGCAACCTACTGCATTCAGCTGCTACCAACGCTGTGCACACACCTGGAGAACTGCCACAACCACTTTCAGGTTCACCTTCAAGTTAACGTTAATCCATATATACCTGTAAATGCAATTTATAATATCTGCCCTGGTTGTTCTCAGCTGATCTTGGATCTTATTGGTATCTTGAGGAGTTTGTGTGTGCTCCCACAGACCTTATTGAGTGAGAAGCAGGGTGTGGTGGATGCTCTAGGGGTGGATGTGAAGGAACAGCATCTCATGAGCTCAGCCTATCAGCTCCTCCTGCAGGTCCTGCACACCACCTTCAGCTGGTGAGTTTTGAGTTTTTCAACCCACCCCCGATAGCATTTTATTTCTTTTGTATGAAAACATAATATGATGAATATGATGGAGAGAAGCTAACTTGCATACCAGAAACCCTGGTTAACCTTCATTTTTAATACTTTAATGACTTCAAATATTCAAAGATTCTGACACATCACTAACTGAGGGTAAGGAAAAAATGAAGTTAATTTTATTTAAAGTTGATTTTCGTATCTTACTGAGTTTACCTTTGTCATTCACATTACCCCTGTCCTAGGACTGAGTCACACTTAGCAGGGATTATCTAGTGACATTTCTAGACTTAATCTGCTCCTGTAAAACTTCCCCAAAGCTTGAAAAGTTTTAAGAATGATTTTTTTGTTAGATCTAAAGTACAGCCTCCTGGGTGTCCTTATCTGAAGTTAGAGTTGTGCAGGTGCAGAGTGTGCCGGTTCGTGATGTTGTGGAGTGTGTTTTCAGGTCGGGCTTCTCCCAGCCGGAACAGCGGGTTCTGTTAAAGAGTGCTCTGAAAGTGCTAGCCAGCCGACTAAAGGAGGAGGGGACAGATCAAACCCTGGAGCAGCTTATTAAGTGAGAATTACAAACACACACTTTAACCTGCTTGTAGAGGGCAATAGAGGACAAGAGGGCAAAATATGCTGCTCATCTTTGCTTTTGCTTTTGAAAAACTGTTTGCTCAGCCAGATGTAAAAGCAGATCTGCGGTTATACCTCCAAATAGCAAATATGGTGTTGTTATACCAATTTATACAGTAATTACTTATATAGTTAGTAGCAGTCTGATTGGATGAGACGTGTTCTACTCATTGATATTTAAGATTTTATTTTATTTTTTTTTCCACAATGACGATATCATTCCACTGAGCACTGGTTGCTAAGTAATGACTTGCTTTATGCTGCAGCCAACTATGGTTCTGTTTAGCATGTTCAAAAACAAACAAAAAATAGTTACATTAGATAATTTCTATAAGTTAATATTTGATCATATTTGGGGGTTAGGGAACCAGCCTTGTGACCGGAAGGTCGCCGGTTCGATCCCCTCAGCTGACAGAACGTGACTGAAGTACCCTTGAGCAAGGCACCTAACCCGGCAATTGCTCCCCGGGCGCTGTGGATAGGGCTGCCCACCGCTCTGGGCAAGTGTGCTCACTGCCCCCTAGTGTGTGTGTTCACTAGTGCGCATGGATGTGGGTGTTTCACTGCACGGATGGGTTACATGCGGATGCCAGTTCCTCTGTGTGCAAACACAGTAGGCTAATCATTCTGAATTCTAAATTGTGATGGCGGAACAGCTAAAGGAACTGGAATTAGCCAGAAATTAATAGAATACAATTCAGCAAACAGGGTGGGCTGTGAAAGTCTGATATTGTGTCATATTCATAGCTCTATTGGTGCTTTTCTTTTTTCTGTATTTTCCTGAACTGTTGAATAAAAGCAGTAGAACACTTGAGGTGATGTGTTATCACAAATAACGTTGTACTCAACTTCAGCTTTCACAGCCATGATGTTACTTGCAGTAATACATTCCTCCTTGTGCTCTATTGCTTAAATTAAACATTTGTAGTCTTCAAATAATTAACTAAAAGGTTTTTAATTAAACAGTTGGCTACAGCACAGGTGTGTGTGTGTGTGTGTGTGTGTGTGTGTGTGTGTGTGTGTGTGTGTGTGTGTGTGTGTGTGTTTATTTAGGCACACTTTTGAGTACCTGCTGAATTTCCGCAGTACAGTGCCCAGCCTAAACACTGCTCTGTGCCTGACACAGCTCCTCACTGTGCTCAGTCACTATGGAACATCCAACTACAGCTTCTACAGAGAGCACACCGGTCAGTCACTCTGCAAGCACATGCTTTATCACTTGCTCATATGAATCAGGCTTTCAGTGTGGTTTAGATGAAGAAACAGTACTTGACTTTTGAATTCATTTTTACAATGTATTTAAAAGGGAAAGTACTCTCAACTAACACATTCATGACAGCTTAGCTAATCGTATATAACTTTCTGTCAGCATCCCTGGCGAGGCATTTCTTGTGTCAGGAGTGGGTGACCATGGGTGGAGCAAAGGAACGTGGAAACAAACACAATGATGCACTCCACAGTCTCCTCAGGTTGCTTCATCATTACTGTATCATTTTTCATTATAGGCCTACATGCTACAATTTCTCTCTTTGGTTACGGATGCATTCTCTCTCTCTCTCTCTCTCTCTCTCTCTCTCTCTCTCTCTCTCTCTCTCTCTCTCTCTCTCTCTCTCTCTCTCTCTCTCTCTCTCTAGTATTTATCTAGACCATGCTGATGATGTGCTGAAAGCAGTAGAGGAGATAACAGGAGAGGGGATCCCTGAGCTGATGAATGCAGCTAAAGATGCCAGCTCTCGTAGCTGGCCCACACTCAGCAGGTACTGCACATTCTCACAATCTTTCTCTCACAAGATTTTGGTGCAGGGGTTTATGACAGTGGGGTGGGCCCCTGTTCTAATTCATTTAATTAATAAATTAGTTAGTCATGTTATTTTCTGTTTTCTTCAGATAGTTGTCTCCCAAATGCGAACTGCTTATCGTACCCTGTGCCAGAGGCGGGCATAGCGTCAGTAGCATAGACTAACGTTATTTTTTTTGTTCAGTATTCCCATGGCCAATCTAGGGTAGTGGGTCCCCAGGATTGGAGCTGAGAACCACTGTCTTATTGTACAGGAAACTTCAAACAAGAAATGTCTTCTTAAATTTTTTTCATAACCTTTTAAGACCTAAGCCTAAAATTGTCTGCCTAGGCATATCTCATTATTTGTGACTGTAACTTGGTGATGAAGCTACTGCATCATCGAGTGGTATTTGGTTTATAGATGTATTTTTATATATATATATATATATATATATATATATATATATATATATATATATATATATATATATATATGTATGTGTATATATATATATATATATATATATATATATATATATATATATGTATTGTTCAGCACGATCTCAACTTGTTTAGTATAAAAAATGAAAGTAGTGTACAGAGCAGAGAAAAATCTAAATCGAAAGTATTTTTTTTTTTTACTTTCCAGGCAAACCTTCCTGGTGTATTATAAGGTTATGATGACAAAGCTGGAAAAGAGTGTGCGCAAGCTGCCCCCTGGAAAACAGACAGACAGCAGAGAGGTGTGTAGATGTAGATGGATGAGTGTGTGTGTGTGTGTGTGTGTGTGTGTGTCTATGTATGTATATAAACTCACTGAGCACTTTATCAGTAACACTATACTAATGCTGGGTAGGGCCTCCCTTCACTCTCAAAACAGCCTCAGTTCTTCATGGCATGGGTTCCACAAAATGTTGGAAACATTCATTTGAGATTCTGGTCCATTTTGACATGATTGTATTAAGATAAGATAATCCTTTATTAGCCCCACACCGGGGAAATTCTCAAGCAATTCCTGCAGATTTTCCAGGTGCACTTTCATGCTGTGAATCTCTTCTACTCACATCCCAAAGGTGCTCTGTTGGATTCAGACCCAGTAATTGGGAAGGCCACTGAAGAACATTGACCTCACTGTCATGTTTATGAAACCAGTTTGAGATGACTTTTGCTTTGTGACATGGTGCAATATCATGCTGGAAGTAGCCTTAGAAGATGAGTAAAATGTGGCCATGAAGGGATGCTCATGGTCAGCAACAATACTCAAATAGGTTGTGGCATTCGAGCAATGATTGGTATTAACGGAGCCAAGAAAACATTCCTCACATCATTACGCCACCTCCTCCAGCCTGGACTGTTGACACAAGGCAGGTTGGCTCCCTAAATTCATGCTGTTGCAGCCAAACCCTATCATCTGTGTGCCTCAGCAGAAATTGAGATTCATCAGAGCAGGCTAAGCGTAGCTCTTGTAGCCCATCCAGCTCAAGGTTTGTCCTGTTGTGGTGCACATCTCAGAATGCACTATACAGAGTGGTTATCTGAGTTACCGTAGCCTTTCTGTCAGGTCAAACATGTCTGCCCATATTTCATTGACTTCCCTCAACAACAAGGTGTTTCAGTCCACAGAACTGCCGCTTACTGGATGTTTTTTTCTTTATTGCACCATTTTGGGTAAGCTCTAGAGACTGTTGTGTGTGAAAATGCCAGGAGATCCGTAGTAATAGAAACACTCAAACCAGCCCATCTGTCACCAACAATCATGCCACGGTCAAAATCTCAATTTTTTCCCCATTGTGATGATTGATGTGAACATTACCTAAAGCTGCTTATCTGTATCTGCATGATTTTATGCATTGTGCTGCTGCCACAAGATTGGCTGAGTAGATAATTGCATGAATGAGGAGGTGGACAGGTGTTCCTAAGAAGTGCTTGGTGAGTGTGTGTATATATAGTACGAATGTACATATGTATGTGTCCCTGTAGATAAGTGGATGTTTTTTGTGAAAGAAGGAGTGCTTGTGTAAGGACAAAGAGGAAATATAATCATGTGTTAATGTTTGTCTAATAATACATACACTGACTGTAGTCATGATATGTCATTATATGATTTTTCTCTTTTGGTAATTTGCAGGTTCAGAGTGAGAAACTCCTAACATGGAACTTAGCTGTGCGGGACTTCCACGTCCTCATTAACCTGGTCAAGGTAGAGGCCCGCAATGCTGTCCCATTTCTCTAAACTTTCTGGAATCATGCTTTTATTCTACCCTAATTTGAGTACTTATTCAAGTAATTTAAAGAAGTATAATTAGAGGGAAATGTGCACATCTCATTGGAAAATTGCTTTGACTGTGTAATATTAGCCTTCCAACAGTAGCCTTCCAACCCATTCTCCAGAGGGCTTTCCATGAGTGAGTGTATTGTATCTTCATATGCATACAAACTAACTGCTTTGACTTTTTCCTCCAGGTGTTTGATAGCAGACCTGTGCTTAATGTGTGTTTAAAGGTGAGCAGTTAAAATAATAATAAATAAAAGCTACATTTCTGTTGTATTCTATGGTATGATACCGACAAAGTAGAAAAATTAAATCTCTTTGTTTACATTGTTTGCTTTCTTTTTCCAGTATGGTCGGCTCTTTCTGGAGTCCTTCCTTAAGCTGGGAATGCCTCTGCTTGACCACAGCTTTAAAAAACACAAGGTACCTCTGCTTCATTCAGCAACTGCCTCCTGTCCTCTTTTATGTCAGTTGGTCAACTAGACATAATTTCAACAACTTTAATACCAAGCAAGACCTAAGTCAGTGTTCAGTTGTCGTACAAATTCATGCAGAGTATCATAGCAGTTACACTTCTGCTGGGTCTCTGTTTCTCAGGAGGATGTTCAGAGTTTACTGAAGACTTTCCAGCTCAGCACGAGGCAGCTCCATCACATGTGTGGCCACTCGAAAGGTAACCAGCAGTAATCCTGTACTTGGTAGTGTCCTTTGGAATATGTGTGATCCTTAATTACAGATGCAAATTTTTTCCAGTTCTTTTAACAAAGGATTACAGACAATCAGATTACTTGTTTCCAGCAGGCCGTATTCGTTTCAGTAACAGACAGCGCAGAGTGATCTTGTGAATGTTTAATGTCATCCACATAATATGCATATAATAATATAATATAGAGTACAAAGACAGCGCACTGCACATATACTTTAAACATTTTCTTCTAAAAGTCGTTGAAGTTAAATAGTTTACGATTCAAGTTAATTTAAAAAATGAAGGTTACACAATGGTGTTAATAATGTTGTATACATAAAGGCAGTTCTGGTTAACAGTCATCATTCTGGCTCTATGATAACCTCTTGTTTCTTGGAGCTTGTGTAATATTGCCTCCCTGTTTTCAGATCCAGCAAGACACAGCACTCACTAACCATGTGCCAGCACTCAAGAAGAGTTTGGAGCAGTTTGTATATCGTGTGAAGGCCATGCTCACTCTTAACCAGTGCCAGGAAGCCTTCTGGCTGGGCAATCTGAAGAACAGGGATCTGAGGGTGAGCCCTGGGACGCATTCGGCTTTTGGCAACATCTTTTAAAGTCCATTTTATGCATGTTGTTGAAATAGCTGGTAGTTCTAAGTAATATCTAGTGCTTGCAGTAACCAGCTGTTCTGGGTAATATTTAGACCAGCGGCGTATGGAAGTTGGATGGAAAATTGTATGTTAATTGTGCTTGGTGGAGAATTAAAATCATGAAAATAAACACTCAAAAAGAGTCACATTTGAACACAAAAAAAGTTTAATACAGCTTTTTCAAAACTACGAAAACAGACTTTTTTTTAAACCTTAAACACAATTCTAAAAACTGTTAACATAATTCACCAAAATGCGTCTTTGTGGCAAAAGCCAACAATTGAGTCAAAAGAATGTTAACTTTTCTGGTAATGAATCACTACTTTCAAAACATGTCCATGAAATCATTAACTAAATACTGGTGCAGTCAATTAATATTGAGTACTGAAGGAATAAAAATAAAAAATATAGTTGTTCTTGTAAATAATTTATTTATGGAGAATTATGTAAAAAAAAATATGTAAAAGCAGGCATATATGTCTTGTAGAAAGAATACGTTCATTAGACAGAAAGAAAATAGTGTGGAGTTATTGTGCCTCAGAATTCTATATGTGGGCTGCGGTAGTTCAAAGAACTTAATCTACATCAAATGCAATATCTACCCTAAGCAGACAGTGTGAGACTGTGTCTACAGTGTCATTCCCCTGATCTTATAAAAAATGTTAAGACATTTTCTATTCCCGCATAGCTTGCAGAGAGTCCCTTTTTATGTATTCAAACTGCATACAGTTCTCTCATTTCATTGCAGCTTTAGAACTATGTGTTAACAGTTAAGCTTTTAACGTATAAATTTCGATAGCCTTGTGTTATTTATTTATTCATCCGTTCATTCATTTATAGAGAAGCCCTGCTGAAACCTGAGGCCTCATTTTCAGAGACCTGGTTATCTGGGTTTTCTGTGTTTCATTGTAGTGACAGGAGTTTTATGAATTGAATGTTAGAGATTTCTTCATGTCAGCACGAGGCTAACTGTGCTTCATAATAAACTGTTTACTAAAGTGTTTAAGAGTTCTGCTGTTTGTTTGTGTCAGCACATTATTGCCCAAACCTTTGGTAAAGCCTTTTCTTTTGGTAATTGATAAAAAGGTTTGGGGTATTGTGTTTAGAGAATCTGGTTTTTGTGTGTCAGCAATTGGGAAAAATGTTACTGGCAAATCATTAATTAATTAATTAATAAACTGGTTAATAAGATTAATTTCTGCTTCAACAAAAGTCTTTGGCTGTTTTTGAGCTGAACAATATTAGTTGGAAAAAAGTCTAGGATAGTAATGTCAGCAAAGTAAAAGTAAGACTCCATTAATATTTGTTTGTTTGTCTAAAAGACCGATTGCTTTTCTCTGTGTAAATTTCAAGCTACATGTGATCTTCTGAGGCTTTCTGTGTTCTCAGTATGGCTTTAATTTAACGCAGTAATGGCAGAATGCTGAGTACCCCGCTGTGACGCAGTGAGAAATTGAACAGTGCACGGCGTGTCCGATGAGTGGTGGTCTTTAGTGTATTACATATTTTTGCAAATATGATTCATATTGTAATTTGTTTTTTAGGGTGAAGAGATTCTTTCACAACGGTCACAAGAAAGTGAAGAAGAGGATGAAGAGTCTTCTCAGCTGCCAGAGGGGCAGAATCAGGAGGAGGTACTACCTAGCTGTTATATCTAGAACCCAAAAAGAAAAGCTTGATGAGTTATTTTCTACAGAGCTTATTGTGCTGCTCAGTGACTGGATATATTGTGGGAGAAGTTTTTTTGTGTCGATGTTTTGGTTCTCTTTATTTTCTCTACTGTTTCTGACACAGGAAAGCGATGCTGAGGTAAAGGAAAATGGCCACCATGATGAAGAGGAAGAGGAGGACTCTGAGGTGTCAGACTGATTGAGCAGGGAATTACAACCATTTTATCTTTTTCTTTACAACCAGTCAGCACAAGCACATTCACAGTACTTAGCATGCTATCCCATTTTTATCATTTTCAGCTTGGTAAACTGCTAGTTAAAGATTGCAAGACATTTAAGTAAAAGATAAACGTGGTCAACAACGCTGAAACAGCTGGTGAGAGGAAAGCAGTCTCTTTTGTGTTTGAGAATTTATGTATAATCTTGTTTGTTGTTTATTCTTTGTACTTGAAATATCATCACTTATATTAAGACTATAAATTAAATTCCCAAATCAGAATGTTTTTTTGTGCTGTGTAATTACTGTAATAATTTATCACAGTGATGAGATGCCAGAGGTGTGCAAAATACAGTACAATACAAAAGTAGGTCACATAGCTTTAAATTAACTAAATAAAAAGGTACAAAGACTGTGTCATGAGTGCAAGTTAAAATTATTGTGTTTCAAATAAAATAATGAGAATTAAATCAAACTTAATTTTTCTAAAGGATTTCAACTGATTTTCTCTCATTCTGATATAAATTTCTTACTCATTTTGCCAATTTTTGCTTTAATTTTGTTTTTATTTGCTGATTTTGCTGATACATTTTTTGCTAATGGTATGGCTGTTTTGCTTCTGAAATTTTTCTTTTGCTTCTGACTTTTGGCACTTAACAGGTGGTGGGTCTTAAAAGAGGACGTTCACCTGCATTTTCTGTTGGTCAATTGATTTGGAGTGACTGACTGGTCTTCTGAACATGTAGTCTCTGATTACTGCCAACTGCTACTGTGAGATAGTTGATAAAGTCGAGATGTCATGGTTTGCCGTTTCGTTCTGGGGTTCATAAAGGCTGTTATGTTAGTCTCTTCTTCTACCTACAGAATCCCTCCGTCTCAGTCACTGAAACAGGTTTTCTGTCTCACCAGTTTACAGAATGCTGCTGCTCCAAATCTTCACATTAATACAGTGAAGTAGCTTGAGATATTTAAGCAGTTTAGTTCCATTACCAATATGGCTCTATTCACAGGACCTGTAAACATGTTATGTTAATAATTTTAAAAGAATATAACATACATTGCTCATAATGTCACATATACCAGTAGAACGCTGCACTCACAGCAGCACTTGGTATGATGTGTTCTGCCGTGCTGGGGGCAGTTCACACTGAGTGGCTACATGTTCAGAAGACCTTGTCACTCCAAATTTGCGTTGGCTTTGTATTTGTGTTCTCTCTTTTGTGTTTGTGTTTCTTCCTTTGTATACGTGTTTGTGTTCTCCCTTAATGCTGTTGTGTTCTCAGCTCATGGTTTGGTCAGTAATGTGATTGAGTATAAAAAGAGCTTCCTAGAGAGGCTGAGTCTTTCAGAAGTAAAGATGAGGAGGGGTTCACTCTGTGAAAGACTGTGCGTTCAAACAGTGCAACAATTCAAGAATAACGTTTCTCAACGTAAAATAGCAAAGAACTTTTGCTTTTCATCATCTACGGTACATAATAACATTAAAAGATTCAGAGAATCTGGCGAAATCTCTTTATGCAAGGGACAAGGCCAAAAACCAGTATTTGCTGGCAGTGATCTTTGGGCCCGCAGATGGCACGGCATTGAAAAAAGACACGATTCTCTTGTGAAAATCACTGCATGGGCTCAGGAACACTTGTGAAAACCACTGTCTCTGAAAACAATTCATCACTGCATCCACAAATGGAAGTTAAAACTCTAAAACGCAAATAAGAAACCACATATGAACAGGATCCAGAAACGCTGTCACCTTCTCTGGGCCCAAGCTCATTTAAAATGGACTGAGGCGAAGTGGAAAAGTGTCCTGTGGTCTGACGAATCAAAATTTGAAATTCTTTTTGGAAATCATGGACACTGTGTCCTCCGGGCTAAAGACAACTCAGCTTGTAGGTGACGTGCATATCTGTGAAGGCAGCATTAAGGCTGAATGATAGATGCGTGTTTTGGCAACATATGCTGCCCTCCAGACTACGTCTTTGTCAGGGAAGGCCTTGATTATTTCAGCAAGACAAGGACAAACCACATTCTGCATGTATTACAACAGCAAACTGGCCTACCTGCAGTCATGACCTGTCACCCACTGATAACATTTGGCGCTTTATAAAATGAAAAATATGACAAAAGAGAGCCTGAACTATTGAGCAGCTGAAATTCTGTATCAAAGAAGAACAGGAAAACATTTAACTTTAAAAACTACAGCAATTAGTCTCCTCAGTTCCCAAAAGCTTACAATGTGTTAAAAGAAGAGGTGATAAAACACAGTGGTAAACATGCCCCCATCAAATTCAAAATGGGCATATATTTTTCAAACAACAATAAAATTTCCCAGTTTCAACATTTTATATGTAGTATTTTCCTTTAAAAATATGGCTTTACTTGATTTGCATCTCATTGCATTCAATTTTTATTTACGTTCTGCACAGCATCCCAACTTTGTTGGAAATTGGGTTGCAATACAAGTTTTGCCTTTCATTTTGGCATGTATTCTGTACGTCATTATGGAAAAGTACTGGCATGTGCATTGCATTTCACGTTTTCCGCTGTGAAGATTGCTTTCAATTGGCACGAATTCCTCCCCATACATGAAGGTATGTTACAGTGATGTTACAGTTATGACAGCGTCCTCAAAGCCTTGTGTATGGTGCAAACGGATCAATTTGGCAACCCTGTTTTAGTTTGTTGGGGGGAACAATAACATTGTTCAGTCTGGCACGCTAAACGCGGAAGGCTTTGTTTTAGGATGACCATTCAGGGTTATAAAGATCCTAAAGTACTGTCGGGCGGGTTGCTGTCGTTCTGAAAAGCGTGATCATTTCGAGTTTGCTGTAACACGACTGGACTCCTGGCACCCCTGCGAATCAGAGCACATGGTACAACCAGGAAGCAGCGGCTCAGTATTGAGGGAAATAAAGCGGTCAGCTGTGTCAACAGAGCAGAGTAAAATTTCCAGAGTCAGTTTTCCAGATAAAAGACATTTCCAGAATAAACCTCTGGCGGGAAAACCACCGTGGCAGTAACACGGTAGGATTTTCGGGGCTTAAAACGTAAGAAACACGTTTTGCTGTCCGAGACGTTTAAAGAGTATTTTGCCTGCCATCTCAGTAACTGAAGACTGTGCTTGCTCTTATAACAGAAACAGGACAGACGACAGATAACATGTCCGACTTTATTATCTTATCCCTGATCGGCGTTTTGGTCCTATGTCTGCTCTTGACCCTAGTCGGTTTCGTGTTTTACTCTGGACTTCTCTCCGAGGTCGTTATTCGGACAGGATCTCCTCCGGTGAAAAAGATCACAGTTGCATACAAATTCAAGAAAGGCTCCTACAAGGAGAGCGGAGCTGCCTTCACTGAGAGCTGCAGCATTGCTCCAAAGCTCTGCTCCATCGGGGTGTATTACGATGACCCCAACCAGGTGAGCTTGTGTTCAGCTTCATGTCAGTCTACGTGGAGCTTTTTTCCCCCCACATCACTTGCGCATGTTGTCAGGATGCAGTGAATCACGAGGAGAACGTGTCATGTGTGCGCGCACACAGTCCTTCCTTTACAGTTAGGCCTTGCATTTTGGCTCAGACAGCTAAATGTATGTATCTTAACTCCAGCCATCTAGTCTTGCAATCATTCATAGTGCAACTCTTTAATTGCTAATTTTACTGTCTCAGCTGTTTAATACAGGAATAAAGGGAGCTGCATCTTCTTGTCAGTGTACCTGAAAATGTGTAGGTAAGTTTGTGTTGTCTAAGGAGTGAGACTTCAAGCAAATGCTCCTCATGCTTGCATGTGACCCAAAAGCCTAAAGATTCTGTATTTAGCAAACAGGCCAAGCCCACATAACAACTATCTGTGAGAGGAATCCTGGCTGCAAACTGTATTTACTGAGATTACTGAGCTGATTGTAGCTCGCCGGTAAAAACATCACATACCATGAAACCAGACAGCTAGAATTGGAGTAAGGCCTAATCCACACACTTCCACCCAGCACTGCTGTAGTGCAAAACTGATGGTGTCCACATATTTGGGACTGGACTAGAAAAGCAGAGATAATTCCAGTATATTTTCCCCCTTTTCAAACTGCGAACAGTAGCCTAGTGCTTTTGCTATAATAACAGATTGCTGTGTTCCAGGCTGCATGGCAGTCATTGTCATTAACTGGCATGAGAAACTGTCTCCCTGCCAAGAGAGCCATATTTGTGGCTGCACTAATCTAGTGTTTGTTGTTCTCGGTGGTGTCAGCACATTTTCTAAAGTGGAGTGTCACAGCACCCTGCTGTAGCTGCCTGCTGGTGTAGTTCTCCCAGGTGCCAGTTCCCCATGGGCTCTCATTCTGTTCCTCTGGCCATGCTTTCTCCTCTACTGTACCTAAGTCTCCAAGGCTGTTAGGTTGGCAGCAAAACCAGCTGATAGGGTCTTTTAAAGCAAATTTTGGGTTAGGGTTGAGATAAGGTATCAGGTTAGGCGGAGCATGAGCGTTTAGGTACACTGACGTCTGCGTTGCAGTTATATAAGGGCGGACCAGAATTAAATGTTTGGACTGATAGTTGGTAGCCTTCGAGATAGGGGTTGATATTTTTTGTTCTCGTGATTACATTATGTCATGTTATGCCAACATGTACTTTTCTGAGTGTATTGTGGATATTATCAACACTTAAAGAACACTGACCAACTGCGTGTTTCCTTACGAAGAGATCATAATTAGTCCTGGTTAACTGGATTTTAATGCAGCATTGTATGTGATACATTAAATATGAGTTCAAGAGGCTTTATTGTCATTTCAGCTATATACAAGTACACAGTAAAACAAAACATTCCTCCAGGATCTTGGTGGCAGCATAGGAACGCAAGTGCAGAACAATACAATATACACAGTGCAGACAATACAGTGCAATAAATACGAAAAAAAAAACTTATAATAAATACAAAACAGAACACAGGCAGTACATGGTAATGAAGAATGTGTGGAGTTGTGCAAAGGAGGATGTAACATACTATGACATATTAGCAGATTAGCAGATAGCCTAGCATACATAAGCATATCAGTCACTGAGGTTGCAGCCAGAACTGCAATGGTTGATAGAGTATTCTAGCAGCAAGTCGTTGTGTTCATGGTTGTATTGTAAGTTGTTGTATTCATGGTTTTTGATAGTTGGGGTGGGTGATATGATATGATATAAAAAGATATGTTTCGTTTTCTGAGGTTTAGAAGAAGTAAATTAAACTAATTATGTGCTCTCTGTGATGGAACGTGCGGTTGTTTAGTGTTTTAAAGTATGGATGATATCCTCAAGATGCTCAGAAAAGCATATGCTGATGTAATTTATCATGATAGAGTTAAATACCATCATATGGCCCACCCATAGGCACTACTGGTTCTTTTTTTGTCATTTCCAACTTTTCAAACCTCAAAAAGACTAAATGTTGTGATTCTTATTGCATAACATAAACGTTTATTGATGTATCACTGTTATATTCTTGTCATATCACCCACCAGTCAAAAGTCAAGTCAAAGTTTATTAATATAGTGCTTTTTACAACTGGCATTGTCACAAAGCAGCTTTACTGCTTTCTGAGCCCCATAAGCAAGCCAATTTCGACAGTGTCAAGGAAGAACTCCCTAAGAACAGGATGGAAGAAACCTTGAGAGGAACCAAGACTCAAAAGGGGAACCCATCCTCCTCTGGTTGACACCAGATAGCAAACAATAACACGAGAGAAAAAAGAGCGGAGAATAAGATTTGACCGTGAGTATAAAAAACGCACTACTACTTACAGGATGTGCGGATTCTCACCAAATTGTATTCTGTTGCTTCTTGCGCTCTACTTTGTCATTCTGGCAGTCCTGTGTGATTTTACATTATTGCAATATTTTAATAATGGTGGTCAACACAGAGGTATTAAATTATTTATACTACTTCTCAGTACTGAAAATATTAAATCTCTGCAGTAGTCTCTCCTTGCTCTACACAGTGGTACTGCTTTGAACTGTGCAGGGACATGGAGGACATTAGTGCTGTTCTCATATCAGCTTGCCAGGCTTTTAACACCACCACCAGACCGACAGATGGAACAAAGGCTGAATTTGTGCTGTGAAAGTTCATTTTGGGACATTAGGAGTCAGGAACAGGCCTAAAGGCTAAACAGCGTCCCTGACAATCCATTTTCTCAGCTTCTTAGTGTAATACACAATGTGATACGGAAATATGTGGATAGTTTTCAGCTCTGTGTTTTAGCACTATATCTAGCACTCTATGTACAATGTCTGCGGGACTGTGACTGGAGACTGTCAGCTCTAGGACTAATTTAAAACAAAAGCAATTTAACTGATAGCAAAGGAACTATTCAGAAACAATAACACACTTTGTTCATGCATTTGGCCCAGTTGATGCTGATGTTATTAGGCAGGTGTTGTCAGTGCACAATGGGGACAGGCCATGAGCATAGGCTTAGTATTTTAATGCTGCTGTATATAAAAATAAAGTTTGCCTCAGAGACTGGCAAATTCATTTAGTAATTAGGTGCTCGGGAGAACCGTTGTGTTGTGTATCCCTGGAGCATGTTATGACTCAAGGCTGGAAAATTATGACTTAAGTTTTCCTTGGGAAGTTGCTTAAATTACTACACAGAGTCATCAGTGCTTTCTGTGGCCCTCTGAAAGAAACGTGGCACAGCAGGACCACGTGGCAGTTTGGCTAAAAGCAGGCAAATCATCTGCTGTCCAGCTTCATTGCCTCTGGTTAAAAGTGGAACGTGTCAGTGAAAGCTTTAGCTTGTATGAGGTGCCTTATCTGTCTGCCTCTTTAATATTGGCATTGCAGTGTGCTGGAGGGGAGCTCGACTGCTGAAGTGTGACTGTGAAGTGTCATTGTAACCGTCACCGATAATCCTGTCTGGAGTTTGACCAGACTTTAACAAGGAACACATGAAACATGAGCGCAACCTCGTATACCCTGACTGGGAGTGCTGTTGCCCGATAATGACCACAGAAGGCTTAAAGGGAAAGTAAGAAAAGAAGAAATGAAATGCTTTTTGTTTGATTTATGAGGTAGAGAAAGAACATGTCTCTCAATGTCCAGAGCTCCTTTTGTGAACACAAACACTGCAACTCTTAGAGCTGTTACTTAACGAAAATGTAAAAGTTGCAATAAATATCTTAATATAATAATATAGATGGGTCTGTAACATGGCATGTGTTTTTTGTGCCAAAGTCCGTTGTTTTCCTATAAAATAATGAAATAAATACATGTCCAAAAATATCCAACCGAATGTAAGTAAGCTCTTAAAAAGGGTCATACATATAATTCAAAATAAAGCACTTTGACACAATTTAAAGCCATGAACATTATAACATTTTTCAAAATAGGGCTGCTTTAAAAGTATTAAACTCATTGAAAAAGCTTTGGATGTAAATTCTGTTTTCCACAATGTCATGTGCCAACAAAGGACCACATGCTTTTAGGAAAGGGTGGGCAGAGTATTGCAATATAAAGAAGACCCAAAGTGACCCCGAAGAGCTCAGTGGCCTTATGACAAATGTTTACTTTTTGATTTTACAGATCTCTAAGTATGAAAGCTAGTTTATACATGTTTTCAGTAGTGGTAAATAATTTTAAATTAAAATAGTTTTTCATAAACGTGTGGTTACACCACCAGACATTTTCTGGGCAGTAAAATGGTCCTGTTTAAAAAGATGATCCTGTATAAAATTTATAAAATTTTAAAAACTATGAAACAAATATCAATACACTGAATTATTATAGATACAAAATGCACATTGTATCGATTTTAACACATGAAAACTCATGTTTTGAGAAACATGACAGAGTGGTTATCATACAGGACTGTGTTGTCCTTTCACAAACACTAGATGGCGATGATGTCATTGAGTAAGAAGCATTGGGCATGAAGCAGAGCGTGGAGTCCTATGTAGGGTTACATGGTAGTTTTTATTTGAACGTTTAGTTTATTTGATTGTAAATCATCACTAAACTGTGAAAAAGCTATCCTGGGTCAAGGGCATGAGAGTGCTGCAGTGTGCTTGTGTAGACTGTATTTTTTACAAATGCTTCCGCCGCAGGTGCAGTGCTGAAGGATCAGCCCTCTCAGGCATTCAGGCACGAGGAAAAAGTTCAGCTTACGTCTTTCAAAAATGGTGTTAGGCTTTGAAAGAAACCTATGAATTACTTATCTGCTTGCTGGTTCTCCATGCTGTTTGATTGTGATGGCCTGGTTTCAGTATTAAAGGAACCGCAAGTGCACTTTTCACATTATGCTACTCACTTTCTATGGATCTTGCTTACTTGCTTGGCTTGTCACCAAACTGAAAAGGGGAGAATGACAGAGAGACGTGCCCTCACCTCCCAGCCTGCTCTGAGCTGTCACTTCTGCTCACTATATAGTTTTTTTGTAACAGTTTTGTTA